GACAGCGAATAGCAGATAATAGACAGAAATAGAGGGCCATGACTGCCGATGTCTGTAACAGACCTGGCATTTGATGATGATGATTTGACGATGATGAAATTATGTTATCACAATCATTCCATTGAAAGAGGTAAGATCATTTAGAGGAATTTTGTAATTTGAGACCGAAAGAGAAACAAAGAGGAAGAAAGGGAGACAAGACGATTATTTTCCTTTACGCTTTGAATTCATACCTTTTCAACTACATCCTCCTTTGTTTTAAATCTTTATACTTCCTGTTCCTCCCTTTTCCTTTATCTCCTCCCATCTCTTCCCATCTCTTCCCATCTCTTCCACTGCAGTGTATTATATTCGTATTCCCTATATCATAATCAATGGTATTCCGGGGGATTAAAGGCATCGTTTAACAATGTTAAATCTGAGATGCATGGCCCTACATGACTGTTATCAGTGTCTGTGATATGGTGTTATATTGAAGCCCTAACAAAATCGCGCTTCAAAATGATCAAGAAGTTCCTCAAAAAGTAAAAATCTTTAAGTGACCGGTTTTACCATACACGTTATCCCCATCAGACTGTAGTGTCATGAAAACCGTTAAAAAAAACGCAAAATTTGGTTTCGATTTCCAATCATAAATATCTTGAATATCAGACAGGCGATCTGCTTGTAAAAGTCATGGGGTTCCTGACTGAACAAAAGGTTTATAATTATCATTGCAGCATGAGCTAAATCCAGGATTTTGTTTCAAAATCTGAGACAAACTTACCGGATCCCTTTAAAGGTAACATCATTGCTCTCTCGCGTCGACCCCGTACATATTTTCCAAATGCACAATACGCTTTGGTTGAGAACTGTTCATGCAATTACATTGTGAAAAAATTGTCTAGACTCGTTTGGGAAAGGTTTATTATGTTCTAAAGTGCGTATCAACAAAACCCATACCCAGCTCTGGTAGCTCCTAATTAAAAAGTCATAACGAATATGACTTCGAAATGTATTTCATGTATTTCATGATTATGAGTAACTTGTTTTCGGTCCAATGATAATACCCTATTCATAATATTTCTACCACGGGTGACTGCATGAGCGCAATCATAAAAGTTCTTTAAAGATTTGGTTAAAATCGCCTTGTACCAAGTTTGGGCTGATAGAACGAATATTGAATGAATTCAAGATTGTAATCTTCATAACGCAGAGAATATCATACATTTTCCTTCTAATAAGGATTTCCTTGAGCTCGAGTTGATATTAACACTTTTGATCTTCAACTGCCTAATAGCCGATATTAAGAAGTGAGCATTTTTGTATGGAATGAGATAACCCACCAACAATGGATTTGAACCACATCCATTGTTTCAGCCCAAACTTGGTACAAAGGGATTTTGGCAATACATTTTGAGAAGCCTGCTGCTCAGTCACCCGTGGCAGCACAATTATGAGTATGGTATCATTAGACCGGGTATCAGTTACCCTTAAACATGAAATATGATTCAAAGTCACATAGGTTATAACTTTTTAATAAGAAGCTACCAAAGTTGGGTATATTATTTTTGATACGCAATGTACATTATAACTGGTGTGTGCTATCATGTTTTGGAGGCATCAAAATTGATAAGACATTGATCTTCACGTGCACAACACTCATAAATTGGTATATGGGACTACACATGATTGTGTAGCATAAAGGTTTGGTCCAAATACTCCAGCTATGTGTCATCACATCATGAATATGAGGCATTTGATGAGCTGCCCTTTTCTGGAGATATTTCTGTTTTCCAAAAAGACACACAAAGAATGAGAAAACTCGTTAATTATTCTCCACCTCTACGAGAACCCGACCTTCTCTTTAAAATATAACATTCTTCTCCCAATAGAGACTGGGTCAACATCGTCTCACTTCAAAACGGATTATAAACAACTTTTGAAATTGGAGGGACAAGTCTGAAGGGTGGGGTGGAAAGTCGTTACATCATTTTCATGACAGTGATTGAGTACACTTCCTAATACAAATGATTATGATCAACTTAACATCGACATAAGACACCCTGCAGGAAAGCATACGTACTCTAGGAAGGATGGAAAAAGCACTCTATTATTTTATACAATCGTTTTTGTAAACAAAGTGAATACAAAGAGATCATCATGATCATCATATCATTAGCTAAATAATTTATGACATGGATAGACATGCTGAAGGAAAAGCTTACAAGTAGGGGCGGACGATTGGCATAACTTTCTATGAAAGTGATTAGTGATTGAGTCGTTTTCATGCACAATATTATAATGAAATGGCCGTCACTGGAAGAACATGAAAAATAGAAGCATGAAATATGTAAGGTAATTGTGATGAATTATAAACATAGGGTTACTACGGAAAACAGGTTATCAGAAGGATTGTCAATTTGCGTGGGATATGTAACTACAAAAAGAGTGATAGATCAAACTGATCCTGATGCCGGGGTATGTTCTTGATTGGGAAAATGCGTTTCAACCATCGGAGGAATGCCGGGGGAAGAGATTGATGGGATAGATCAGAACAGCCCTTCGCCCCCAAGCCCTGTCCATTAAAAGTGTCGTTTTATATTAGAGTGTTGTTAAATATTATTAGAAAGAAAGACACAGGGAAGACAAGAGGATGAAAGTGAGGCACAGGTCTTGCAAATCCGATAGTATGCTACGGATTAAACATGAGTTTGTTTGTTGTTGGATCACTTGAATCAGGGAACGAATCAATGACATTGTCTTGATTTTTTTTGAGAAGGGCTCCATATTTCAAATATTGTTTTGGCGCACTTCAGGAATACCAGACTGTACTTTAAATAAAGGGCGTCGACAGGTTGTGCCCGAACGCCAATTGCCCATTTGCCCAATTGTGTACGTGGTGCACCTTTCGAGCATTTCTCCCAAATACTGACATTTTCATAAGTTCCTAGATCTATTTCATAAAGGGGCTGTGTAAAACGTATGTATGTTCAGTAGAATTTATTATATTTAGGATCCATGTAACAATGGCTATTTTCTTTAAAGAACATGGATAATTAATGTGTTTCGGTCAAAGAACTAATGTGAGAGGTCCTGGAACGTGTCGATATAGGATCGTCACGGAGTTGCCAATATGTGTTTGATCATTTACAACTTTAGAAATTCATAATTTTCTTATTTTCTAATCTTTCCCTCAGAATTTCACTATTCAGTTTTCCTAATATTTCTACTTTTATAGAACCAATTTAATGTCAGGGCACTCTTCCCCCTTTAACTTTCTAATGGACGCTGCATACGCACGTTCATTGCTTACACAGCTTTCCTCGAAAAGTGATACTTCGATGTTTTCTCCTTTTCTGATTCTCACACGACGTAAATCAATTTAGGCTCGTTCCAGATACATTTCAATCTAATCAATCCACAAGCAAATTAGTTGATATGAGTGTAAGGGAATGGCATAAGAAAGTCGGCCTTTAGCTAGCCAGGGCATTTCGTAAAATCAAATCAAACAGTCACCCTAAGAAGGGGAGAGAGAAAAAAGATAAGGCGAGGGAAATTTGGGGGTTGGAGTGTTGAATGTGAATTTGCAGTGAGACGTTTTAATGGCTTGAAGTGTTCTATAAATCTCGTATAGCTTGCATTCTCATTTGGTTTACATGCCGCCTACGACGTACGACAACGTCAAACTTCAGGATGAGGATGCGCATTATGTATGTGTGCTAGTTTGTGCGCGTGTGGGTGAAACGCTGCTCTCATTCCCTTTCACTTAAAGGTACCTTTCAACATTGTTATATTGTTTGACTGATTTTACTCTGATTATAAGAACAAATGCCAATAGAACTGGTAACTTCCTCTATGTGGATCAAGAACTGCAACCGTATATACGTGATAGACTAAAGAGCCTCTCTTGGAATATCCAGATGAAGTTGTTAGCATCTAGGATAGTGGAGATAGGTAAGCCAAGTCCAAGAGAAAAGCTTCAATAACGGCCTGAAAAGACGAAATGGCGCCTAGAAGGTCACGCATGAGTGATTTCGGAAAATGAAAGAGTTCAATGACCTTGATTGGGGCTCGTGTGGGTGGGTATGTGTATGTGCATGTGATATGCGTGTGTGTTTGTGTGTGTGTGTGTATTTACCATGCGAGATTTGTAATAGTTGCGAAGCTACAAAGGGGGTACAACACCCTCCATTCATTGAATGAAAAAGAAAAGAAAAGATGAGAAAAGAAATAAATTTGCATTTCATTTAACGTGTAAAAAGGTGTCCCCACCCCTCCCCTATAATGCCAGTGCGGCAACGCCTCGTCAATCGCAGGACGCACGCTACGCTTCTGACATCTATAGTATTGTTTCCCTCTGGTGTTCAGATTATTCAGTACTGTTTATAGAATATTATACCGGAATGAATATCATAATGGAAAAGGTGTATTAATTTGCAGAAATACTGTGTTTGTAACAAAAACACGGGGGAAAGCGACATATCGTCGCCTGGCTGGCAGAAGGGCGTTAGTTTGAATTTCAGGCAAAAAATGAAGCGTTCAGCAGAAGGGTGTTAGCACTAAATCGCCTCAAACTTTTATAAAACTGACTTATTTCCGTGAAAAAAAATTGTGGCCGTGTTCTACTATAACATTCCTATTAGTCTTTTAAGTTTTAAACAAATTTTCGGACGGAAAGCAGTTTAAATATAAAACAAATCTTTAAATGCGAATAATGCGAAAGGTAGTTCTCGAGTCGCTCGCGCGCTAACGCCCTTCTGCCAGCCGGCCGATCTATACCACACATTTCATTATCGAGGGAGACAAAGTGCATGGCCACTTTAAACATGTAGATCGACAAGTGGGCCCCATAGAGTGGTGTCACTAAGGAAGATTCAACTGTAATTCCATACTGATTTTTGTCTCCCTCGATAATGAAATGTGTGGTATAGAACCTGTCTAGAAAAAGCCACATGGCTATAATTATGGCCACATTCTCTGGTCGATCTTTAATCTTTTAAATTCTTTTCTCTTTACAGGGAACTCCAGTCAACGATTGGCGAGAATGGTACAGGGCAGTGCTCCCCTCAGCATCGTGTAGTCTTCATAAAGACTCACAAGACCGCCAGCAGTACCACGGCTTCCATTCTCGAGCGGTACGGCTACCGCCACAATCTCTCTTTCGCTGTTCCTCCTGCGGGTCACATCCTCGCGCAAAAAATACCCTTTCACCGCTCCCTAGTCGCCGACCACGGCTCATCCACCACAAACAACTGCTCCGACCATGACCATGGGCTCGACATGCTGACCAACCACGCCAGATACAATCGGCCAGAGATGGAAGCCGTGATCCACCACGCCAAATACTTGACCATCCTTCGCGAGCCAACGGCGCAGTTCGAATCGGCCTTCGGCTATTTCCAAGTTGCTGAGAAGCTCGGCTTGTCCAGGTATGAAAACCCAATAGAAGCATTTATGACAGACCCAGAGACGTACCTCAATATGAGAAAGTTTGATTACTACTGGCAGGCTATGAGAAACCAACAGCTCTTTGATCTGGGGCTCGATCACAAAGACCACGACGACGAATACATCGTAAATTATAAAATCGCTTCTCTGGAGAAGGAACTCGACTTAGTCATGTTGACAGAATACTACCCTGAATCCATAGTCCTCCTCAAGAAGATGCTTTGTTGGGACTTCGATGACATGTTGTACCTGTCCAACGGCGTCCGTAGCAAGTCCATTCGCTACTCCATCTCACCTGAGCTGCGTGCGAAGATCCGTAACTGGAATTGCGCCGACGGCAAACTCTATGATCACTTTAACAAGACTTTCTGGAAGCAGGTCAAGGAATACGGACCCGACTTCGACAAGGACCTCGCTACATTCCTTCGCAAGCAGCAAGAACTCGAAGACGAGTGTATAGATTTAAGTGCAACAAAGGACAGTCGCCGAGAAGTCGTTTACCAATTGAAATCGAACGCCAGCAAGAGGTGCGCGGACGTTCTTCGTGGAGATGTAGACTATACATCCCTTATACAGGATCGGATGAGAGAAAACGGCGAAGCACCGTCCAAATTTTCGTTTGCATATCTCCGTGATGTATACAACTCCATCTTCGTTTAGTGTATAAGGTTTTGCTGTAGATGGGATATCAACAGGAGATCATAATCATGAAATACCAATCGCTGTCACTTCCATGGGCGTTCTAGATTTGTATGCGGCTTGTTGAACAAGCTATGACGTTATTTCAATGTGCTGTGAGGGCTTTGAAAGTCTTCGAGTGAATATCGGTGTTCTTATGCAAAATAACATTGATATATTATATGCTGCCGATAGTAGTCATGTGGCTGTAAATGTATATTTTGTAGATTTTTTTTACAGGTTCGAGATATACCCTGGTGATCAAACGCTTGTACATAAGGAACGAGGATATTGGGAAATCCCTCAACATAACTATACACCATATGCGATGAAGTAACTAAACGCCGATTAAAATTGTTCTGGCATGGAGGAGCGACTACCTCTCCAGGCATATAGTAAAGATTTTGTTGTACCTCGAACACATGGACGTCAACCACTATGTTGGAAGGACCAAGTCCGCCATGATGGCGGGATTAGTCTGGAAGCCGCTGAAAGACCATGCTCAAGATAAAACTGAATGGAGGCCGACTTCTAGGAGCACAAGGGAACACCTTGTAAAAAGACTGAAGTGATTTTTAGTTTCGATTTCGATCCCGCTTATTCATGAACGACGCAATGTGCTGCAACAGTTATTATAGATTCAAAGTTTCAAGTTATTTTGCACTTTCAGCTAATTTATAATTTGTTATTCAGAGCATTGTGCGTCAAAAGATAAATATGAAACGTCACTAAAACGTGACACTTTAACTTCCATGGGTTAATGGTGCAATAGTTGCATTGCGGTGCTAGATTAGCGCAGCTAATAATGCAATCAAAATAAAACCCTATGTGCAGATGTTGAACAATAATTATTGTAGCATACAACTGTGCAGCGTTCGCCAAAAATGTAAGTATTACGACATCAGTGCTACCCATTTAATGCAAATGATATCGAAGTGTTGATATGTTAAAGTATTAAATAATAGAAAACAATTATAATTTTGAAATGTTGATTTGTGAAGTATTACTTGTATTTGGATCTTCCATGTTGACTCCTCTATGTTGTCTCCTCTTGATATTGTAATTTACATTATAGGCTGAATTGACGCTGTCATTAAGCATTTCCTATTTCGACCTTCAGACGAAACAATCGAATGAGGTTGATTCAATATGTATTGTCTTTGTCACTTAGGGCAAAACACCTCTTATGACGTAAAAGGGAGATCGAATTTGATCCTTTAAACTGATGGAGGTTTATTATTATCTAATTTTAAGAACTGTTGTTTATGCAGGGGCACTAATACTTTTTTTTGGAACGCAGAAGAGTGTACATGTAAGTTTAAGAGTCATAGTGGAGATCATTTGGTGTTTGACTTGAATCCACTCCGAAGTAGAGGTTTATTACTCTTTTGAGAGTGAATTTTAGCGTGGATTTTCCACACCAAAACGAAATGAATCATAATATGACTCCCCCACGTGGATCTTCACTTTAGACTTGTACATTTAGACAGTTCAGGATGGAGGCAGGTGGAGTCCTACCCCGGCTTGGACAACCCTGAATATGTGACATTACCGAGACTGCATTATAAAATATTCATAATGTGTTTTTAATAAGGTTGATTTAGGTTTCAATTAATATACCATTCCCAATGCACTTGGTCTTTATGGTAACAATGACGGATTTCGATTGAGCGGAAATTGGATCCAGTTTCCATGAAACGGCAATTACAGTGACAATACGCTAGCGGCGAAGAGTGGGATCGCTTGCCCGGAAAGCTACATCACAAAAATTGAAGAAGGCGCATGTAGCAGAATATTCTGCACGTGACCACACTTTGCATGTATGTATGAATGTATGAAATAGTTATTGTGAAAAATAGATATGAATGAGGATATCGGTTCTCTCTTAAGACTTTTTGCTGCAGCTGTTGATCTTGCAATGTATTGTGTAAAATAATTACAGAGTTAGAAAAATAGCTTTTAATTACGTGTAGCCTATACCAATATATATCTTTCCTTTTAATTTCGATTAACTTCAGTGGATAAGGTATGCTCTCCACATGCATGATATAGTGTGCGATCTCGTCCCGCGTTCTTTTTAGGACATTTTTTTTGGTTCATGAATATTAACTTCTTTAACATTCCGATTCCGGGGCAATGCCCTTTTTTCTTTAAATGACTCAAATTTTGATTACAATTAAACATGCAGCTAAAACTATTAGATGCTTAATATTTGTTTCAAGTTGTTGAACAATTTAGTACTTTCTAGAATTCCATTTTTTAATTGTTTTTTTTTTTTACCATGATAACGGTGTTATTTTAGAAGTCATTAAAACATGTTCTTCAAATCGAGAGACCATTCTGAATTCTGTGTTTGGTCATGTTAGATCTGCCCATACATTTTGATATATATCTCGGTCAGCATTTTAACTTAATCATTAACGGACACTATAGGGGAATTTACACACAGGGCAATAAGTGAGTTTTAGATATCGACTTTTGAATCGAGATCGAAATCTCACTTGGGGGGAAGGGGTGTATTGTGTGATCGCAATCAATATCTGCTCTTAACGAATAATTATAACAAAGGTTTGGTGCTGTAAAGTGAAACATACTCGGATCGATTTGCAGCTAAATGTATAGCAATATGCCGTTACTCAACGAAAACCAAATTTGTCTGGTCCCTTTCGCATACCAGACCGACAACAGACCGAAAAATGCATGAAGTCTTTAGTCTATGGCTTATGATCTAAGAAACGGAGTTAAGTCTTTTGTCAATTATGTTTGTTCCTACGGCAAGCAGTCAGTGAAAACTAATTCGTTTAGTAGAATTATGGAAATGCAAGCATTACTTTAAACAAACAGATTTTTGTTATTCCTAGCTCATTTTTCCTGATTGAGCTGTCATATAAAAGGGCAGAAAATGAACTTTCTAAAAATGTGACGTTCTCTTTGAAAATGACTTTTTGGTACCCTTTCTTCAAATTGATTTGAATCACTCATAAAATATGCATCATATGAGTTACGTCAAATGAAAGAGGAAGATCTAAGCTTTAAAAAAAATAAATAAAAATATGTGTCATTTATTGATTATAATTGTGATTAAGTTATGATAAAACATCGATAATTCTCGGTTTCGTTTTTTCTGGGACGCACTGTATGTTTGATTTTTAAATTTATGTTTTTGTAGTGCAGAAGCTTGGTATGTGAGTTGCTTGCTGCATTTAATTCAACACAAATCAGAGAGTGCTTTGTGTTTTTTATTTTTTGTTTTCATTTTGATTTGGAATAGTACCTTAAAGGCCCGGTCTTGTCACCCCCCTAGTCGATATTAAAGTGATACTATTTCTCTGCAAGACAATGTAATTTGTTTGCGGTATCTCTTTGCTGCACCGATACCTCAGTCACCTCGCCATTTTTTTTTATTCGGTGTGCTTCCGTTTTGCGTTGGTCTTGCCAATGTGACTGGGAATAATACTTCAGTCACACCGGCAAACCGAATCCAAACCGAATCCGAACCGAATCCGAACCGAATCCAAATCGACCGATTATTGATGATTCGTCATTATGCAATCTCTGAGAATACCTTAGAAATATAGAAACATGAAAAGTTCAGAAGTAATTTGAAAACATATCTAGGTAATAGTTTGTAAGATCTTAAAATTATGAACCCAGTGCACCATTTCCACTTCTGTATTCTGTTCCGAAAATCGCATAGAGAAAAGCAAATGTGTCTATGTGTTATAATTATGCGCAATACAAAAACGTTTAATTAATGTTTGGTGTGTTGTCAGTCTTGCGCATCGATCTTGCCGGTGTGACGGTGTGACGGGTATAAGCCACAGTCACATCTACAGACAGTCTCCATACGACAGATTCTTAGTCATTCGTGTTGTCGGGCAGGGCATCGGTTTCACGAGACCGTCATAAGTGCAAACTTGGCGATAGTCCATTGAAATGCTTGTAAAATTTAACACACGCGATTCAAAGGGATGTACGTCCATCGTTGAACGTGTTCTCATGGCGGTTTCGTGAAACACTACCCCGGTGTCGGCCTCGTCATTGTGACTAGGGTGTACCATGTATTAGCTTACATGCGATGCTGCACATACATCATCAGCTGGCTCAACATTGTCACTGATGACATGTAGTTATGCCAATGATTCTAAGATCGTAAACATACATTATATACGTCTACGGGTTGGGCGTCGCTATATATCTATTTGGAAAGTGTTGGGGGGGGGGGGGGGGAGAACATGGTCGATAATTTAGCTCATGTTTCTAGAATGAACGGAATAAGAAAACTCAGACCTCTTTTTCCGATAGATGATCAACATAAAGTTCCATCAAGCGAACTATAGCAAAACAAAACAAAACGAAAAAACGAGAGAAAAAAGAAAAAAAAAATTGCGATTTCCTGACAAAGTTTGCTAAAAGAGCCAAGAATTCTGACAGAAAGTTTGAATGACAAGCCCTAAACTACCCTGTCTAGCGACGCCCCTCTCGACGTTCACCCCTTTTAAACTTTAAAGGCGAATATAAAGTAGCAGAAATTATTTACCTTATTGGGCCAATATCGATTTTCATTATTGATTTAAACGTTTAATAACTGTCGATAATGCAAATTAGTTCAACCAAATAATATTCTTTGTTTATCAACGTACCATTGTCACTACATTCATATCGTGCTTGTAGGCCTACTTTTTGACTTTAGAGGATGTGATGACTGATAGGAGGAAGTGTATGTACGTGAATAGTCCGTTCACCCTTTACCCATTTCTTATATTTTGTTGTTGTCTCGTAGAAGATGTGTTCGGTGTCTATTGTTTATATTAACCGTATCTTGATTTATGGCAAGGTGCCACTTAGAGTTGAGAGGCCAATAATTATGACAAGGATATCTCCCACCCGCACTCCATATCTGCCTTTGTCTGTCTGTCTGTCTGTCTATCTCTTCCCGTCCTCTTTCTCTCCCCATTATTTCTCTCCCTTCTCTTCTTCTTCCCTCTCTTTCTGCTCCTCTCTCCGAATAACAGAACAAAAGTAGTCTGGCGATGACAGCTAATAACGCGGGAGGAACAACTTTCTCATTTAGCAAAATTACTATGCATTACATTCGTATTGTAACATTAATTATTTTCTTATACCACTTGAATTATGTCATGTTCATTTATTGCTGGCAGTCATATTAGCCTAGATAAAATTATGGTAAGAAAAGCTGCATGGTTGTGTCGATATAGATGTTTCACGAAATGTTTTATATTATAATGCCATGATAAATGCCATCAGCAATCGACGCTTGCCACCATGCAATTTAAAATTTGTTGAAGATGATATATATTTTATATTTTTTGCCATCGGTTTACTAACATAATTTTATAATGTACGTGGGTGCTGTATTCTGGCGATTGTTAATTATTATGGAAAGCAAAAATAGTGTATTATTTTATAAACATGGGTTTGTCTGGTTTTGCACCCAGTTGCAAATCACTGCGTGATTGACAAATATTGAACACGATTATGCATGTACATGATTCAAGTTTGACAAATTACGCACCAATAATTCAATTGTTATAACATTATCATTCCATTTAAAGGTTGTTATCTAAGTTTATTGTATTCTCTGAGATTATATTTAACGTCGCTGTTTTCACGAAGTGACGGTAGTGAACAAAAAATTGCATGCACTTTGCGTTACGATTTTCCTCACTACCGTCACTTCGTGAAAACAAGGACGTAAAAAAAATCATTACGATGGATGGCGAAGGTCGAACAAAAATAACAAGGGGAACAAAGGAGTTGAAATAAAAAACGAAGATGAAATATTTTAGTTATATTTGTGTATGTGGTGTCATAATGATTGTTGTATTAAGTACTCTATGATATTCTGAATGCTATCAGGATGGATGTAATTATATAAATTTGTATTTGTTGCTTATAAATTATCATGATAACTTTAGCTGTTGGCTTAATATTTTATTGATAAAAATTTTGTGTTTTTTCATTTTATATGTTGAGTTTACCGCTGTATTTTAGGTCGAGGTTTTTGTTCAGTGTGTGATAATGAAATAATAAATCCAAGTAAAAGCTTTATATCCTCATGGTGGGAAAACTATATCATTTGAGTATTGTGTCATTTCTATTTTTCTTTAGAATTGTGGTCAGGGAGTAAATATAAGATAACAAAATCAACAAACAAACAAACAGATAATTAAGTTTTATCCACTATTTATCAATAATTACATTAACTATCGAATCTATTCGTTCTCTATCGGCTGCTTGATAGCGAGGGGGAGATTGGAATTTTAACTTTCGCTTTGAAGTGTCCTGCTTATCTTTATTCTTTTTCTTCTCTCTTTCTTTTACTCATCAGTCATGTCAGTTCGGTAGAGGAAATAAAGTCCTATAAAACGATGATTTTGAAATGTGTCAATTTTCCATAACTCTCTCTGTCTCTCTCTGTCTCTCTCTGTCTCTCTCTCTCTCTCACTTAACCAACCTCTCAGATCGATAAGGGGGAGGGTGTGCTATAATGGATTTACTGCATAGGACACGTACATGAATACTCCGACATTCATGTACATAATGTGAGACTGAACCACGAATGCGACTGTTGCAGATAATGATGTCGCACAGAGGTGTCATGAATCATGATAAGAGATACGTGTTTATATCATCCTATAAACATACTGTAACAACCGCTGGCCCCATGGAGCTTCGCAATTTAAATTGGTCTGGTGTGGTTGAAGAAGAAACAGGACACTTTGGGGGAAAGGTGTAAGAGCGCAAAGTGAAAGAAAGTTGAGGTCAAGTGAGGCGAGAATTCCGGATCTGCCCTTGAACTTACCTTATAAACCTTACATTTCCTTTTGCTCATCCCAATTTGTCCTTCAATCTTTCTCACAGTAACCCCCTCTCTCTCTCTCTCTCTCTCTCTCTCTCTCTCTCTCTCTCATTCTGTCACTTTCTCTCCATCTATATATATCTCCCCTCCTTCCTCTCTCCCTGTCTTAAGTCCGTCTATCTCATCTTTAGCTTTCTCTCTCTCTCTTCTAGATATCTCTCTCCTTTTCTCCGTCTCTATTTTCCCCCTTTCTCTCGGTGATCTACTTTTACTTCTATTATCTCGTGGCATTCAGTACAATAAAGATTATTCACCAAGGAACACAATTATTTACTGAGAAAAAGAAGAAAAAAAGACATTTAAGATACCTGATACGCATCGACTTTGTGTGTGCTTATACAGTTGAACAATTCACACAGTAGTTACATTAAAGTCCAACCTGTTATTCATTGGTTTCAATAACAGCAGAAAACCCGATTAGCGATAGAGAGAGCGAAATCCGATTAGAAAGAAGAATTTGTAATCATGAAATGTAAATGGGCAACACTGAGTCGTACATGTACCGTTTGAGGTTCTCTCACATCTTCTATGTACTGACAAATTTCGTAAATTTCCATTTTCTTAGTTATTGATGCAAGCCGGGAAAGATTTGTTTCATACAGGGATCATGTAAAATCATTTACTATGATGGTATGGTGAATGCATGCTTTTCATTAGAGGAAAGAGCGGGAAATCATGGCTTTTCTAGTACAGAGCAAATGGGAGGTTATCACGCAAACACGTCGCCGAGTTCACAATTTATGTTCGTTTGATCGATTGCAACTTCAAAAATTCTTCTTTTTTTCTTTAAACTTATTGGGTTTTGTTCAAACATTCACTGACCTGCTTCTCTAATTCATCTGATATGGCTCAAACTAACTTACTATCAGGGTGGACTTCCCCTTTAAAGGAGAACCCAACAAACATTAATTGATATTCTTATTCAAAATCGTCGGCCATTTAAATAAATCTTGAAATTACTCCTATCTGATTACACAGGAAGGAAAACGATATCTTAAAGCCCGTCTGTACTAGTTTGGCCAGGGGGATTAGACCTCACTGCAAGGTCACTGACAGATGGTTATCTCATCAAATCAGCTCTCAATTAACATAAAAAAAGGGATTATGGGGGACCAACATGCACCGATTAGCCATTGTTTGCTATATAGAGGGCGCAAGTAGCTTTAAGTAGTGCAGTCCTGCTTAAAATTCTTTAGCAACCTTGGAGGCCATTCTCCCAAGGGAGTTGCCATTTTGATTAAAATAGTGATGTCAGAGTATTATGATGCGTTAACCTTTTACCACACTCTTAACAAGGTGGACTTCAACTTTGAACTTTAGCTAGACATCATACATTACTTCTTTCCTTCTATTGTAATTTGAACATGAAAACTTACACTGACTACAACATGCAAATATAGCAACCAGCCAATCATGTAGGCAATCTGAATATATATAATCAAAGAAAGGAATGAATGGCTCAAGAAAAAAACAAAGCACAAATTAAATTTTGGTTACACCTGTAGCTCAAATTTATTAAATAGATCTATTTATGCAAAATAAATTATACAAATACAGGAGAAACTTTTTTTTTAATAAATAATAATACCAATGTTACAGTACCGGTATCAATCTACTTTTAAAAACTGTTGAACTTTAGTTCAATCCATTTCAGTGAATGCATCAGAAAATATAATATAAAATTGTAAAGGTTTTAACAAAATTTGGCAAGGTGGTCATAAACTCTTAACAAGATACTTAAGACAATATTTAAATAACATTATATTGGAAGACATATTGATGATTTACATATTTTAGTTCACAATTAAACTACACTGGAACATGGGAATCTAAATTGAATAACGCTGGCTCAATCAAACCCAAGAAAGATTTTTTATGCATGATTAATTTTTGAAAAATAACACATTAAAAGTAGAACATTTAAATCAGCAACCATAATTAATTATGTGTTACATACACATAAACATGTATTCTTTTACATCATTGAGAAATAACATACTTGTGATTTCATCAATGCTTCTGAGTAAACAGTACATACATGGCACAGACACTTGTAATTTCAATTCCTTTCTTAATATTTTGCTTTACATACATGCAAAACAAAACAAAAGCCGTGAAAAAGATGGCAAAGTTGAATAAAATCATACTTGTTCCTCTACATAATGAAATATCATGGGGTTATTATAAAGGTTTATGAAGGCTTATTTTTCTATTTAGAGAGCTACGGGAAAATATACAATCAAAGTATAATTTTTCACTCGTGATCATTTTGTTATGGTTATACCAATCGTATTATGGTCACACTAATGTATCTGTGCATCCTACCGTATGATGTGTTTCTAAGCAACACTGTATGTACCCGGCATTGTTTGCTTTAGCAGTCCTAGCTGTGCGCATTTGAAAATGGAAGACTGGAAAGCTCAGGAGAAAAAAAAACGAGGCACGAGATGGCACATAATCTTACTTTTATATAACAAAGGTTAATTATTATTATGGCTATCAAATATTACAGATATTAGCTGGAAGGGGTGCAATAAACATTTTTTTAAACACTATGATTCCTTGGGCAAATTTATATCCCTTCGGTGATCCAAAGAATACTATATTACACACCCTACTAGTCAATATGTGTACAGCCTGAGTCAAGGATTCAATGAACACTTTTTTTTAACAAATTTAAAGGTAATACAATTTCGAGTTTAACAAATTGTTTGATAATCTCATTGCCCTAAGCTTTTCAGTAGAGGGGAAGTCCACCCTGATACAGTGAAAAAAATACACGGGGGCTCAGGGCGAAATAGCCCCCGAAATGCCCAAAAGAGCCCCCGAAAATCAGAAAAGAGCCCCCTTAAATTTGCATAGAGTTCAATGCAAAACAAATTTTAGAATGTTATTTTCATGCAGGCAAGGTTGAAAGTAGCCCCCGAAAAATAAATATTAATTTTTTCCCTGCCCTGATATTTAGTTTGTTTTGATAAAAGTAGAAAAATGAGAGAAACAAATTAGTGAAAGTTTGAGCAAAATCCAATTAGAAATGGGAAAATTATAGAGTAATGAAGTTGTCATCAGTGAAACACAAATTGGCAACACTGTAACGTATCTTACAAGCTCCTCTCCGAGTAACTCTGTCCAGAAAATTGATGTAACTTATTTTTGACGGAATAAATTTGTTTTATACAGAGGTTGCATGTATAAAAACATGCTTGCAATAATCATACTTGGGGTGAATATATGACTGAAAATTGTCTGAAGGAATTTTTTTTAAAATAATTATTTTTAGTAAAGGCAAATGGGAGGGGATCTCGCAAGATACAGTACGTCACAGAGTTGCCAACTTGTGCTGGATTGATTGCACCTTTAAAAATATATAACCTTCTTATTTTCCACCAGTTTTTGCTCAAACTTTCACTGAACTTTTTCCTCTCATTTTGTTCTGCTCCTATTAAAACCAACCTATCATCAGGGTGGACTTTCCCTTTAAGATAAATTAACAAGCCTGCATAATCCATTCAACCACTTCAATTTAGTTGCTTTCCTTCCACTGCCCTTTCAATGGTTTTCAAGGACCCTTGACCTCTTATTTCTAAACAAAAAAACAAAATACATCCAGTTGAGAGCTTTGTAGTACCTACTTATCACAAACTCATATCATAGATACTGATTAATAATACTGGTACTTGATGGTACATGTTATGCACAACACAAAGCAGCCATGAGATAAAAATCAGCCAGCTGCAATTATCAAGGTCTTAGAGGACTTGTTTCCCCCTACTTTCTTATTGTTATTTCATCTTTTAAGAAGGATATTTTACATGGGCCATCATCACAGGCCAATTTTTTTTTCAATGACTTCTTTTGAAGGGCCTTTACTCAAAGAATACATACTATATAAACATGTATGACCTACAGGCACTAACATGAATAGGCAATTCTAAGGCGTTATTCAAAGGCCTTTTTTTACACAGTATCTTTCTCATTATGTTGTTGAAGTGAAGAAAAAAAAATTGATGATCCAATACATGCTGTCCTGCAACATTTTGCTCTATGGTTTATTTCATCAAGCTCAGAATTGAGTTTGTATAAGGGGTTGACTTAGTTTGCAGGCACAAACCCTGGTCAGTCGTAAAAGAGAGTCTGCACTATAAGACTACCATAGGCCATGTACTAAAGCTGCTCCTGACACAACCAGTAGGTAGCTGGGCTAGGCTTCTCTCAAGGCACAATGATTTTTTGATACAGTGTCAAATTAGGGTCTGTGCTTGCAGACTAGGGTTGACTGTGCAGCAATCGTTGCAAGTGTCATACAACAATCTATCAAGCAATATTGTAAACACGAGTAAAAGTACCTGAGGGCAGTACAGGAGCATCACACTTCATCTACAAGTAGCACTGCGTAACACTGTCTAGTCATACAGGTAAAATCCATGGCAAGCGTCTCTTTGGCGTAGACATTCCCATTGGATAATGCATGAAGGCCTTATGTATCACTGTCTAAACTATTCAGTCGTTCAGATTGTAGGAATAGGGAGCACCACTTTGGCCAAGATTACCATGTGATTGGCACAAGAAGGCTTCATCTGTACCAAATGTAAGGAATAGAAAAGTATGACAGTTTCGCTGTGACATATATGTACATAATACTTTGCTAAACCATATAAGGTGATGGCTTGGCCACTGAACATGGTTTTCAGTTGGTCATCATACACTACCCATAGCTAAAGACTCTCATGGATAATCTAAAGCCATTGTCTGGTCATATTGACCATTCCAGACAACCCTCTACAGGGTGATATGGTCCAAGCCGCTGCAGCGCTCAAAATACACGGGGGCGATGGGCGATTCGCCCCCGTGAGCTCCATAATCGCCCCCGTCAGGTTGCTAACGGGGGCGATTGAAAAATTAAAAATTGCCCCCGTGGAATTATCAAATAAAGATTATCTTTTCTGATATAACTTTAACACAATATTAAGTATCAATTTTCAAACCTTAAACCAATGAAATGGAACTTAGATGGCGCAAGGACTGAAACATGGAGAAGTTTTTTGTTGTGAAAAGTGTGAATCCTCTGAAATTTGGTTATTCTAAAAGGCCAGCAAATAATGTAACTCGACCAGTAAATCAATATTGAGAAGAAGATCACCAAAGATGTTGCAGGGTGTAAAGTTGTGAAATGTTTTATTACACGACTTAACACAACCCGTGTTTAAGGAGTGAACCATTCAATGTTGTGTAAAGTCGTTACACAACGAATTTGCAGTGCACACACATGTAAATCTGAGATTGTTCATTAATATTATGTTATTAAATACAGTTCGCAGAATCATCTATAAATAACTATGTTAAGCATTTACAGTCTATAACAAATAGTTCGCTAAATTAATATATCTCTGTGTTTGGATCAAGCAAAACAAATGCGTTTCCGGAAGCGAGAAAAAAAAATATGGAAAGAGGGGAAGGTCGAAATCTGTTTACGTGCAATACTTTTAGTGCACCGCGAGGACAACTATATTATGTCAAAGTCATGTTAATCCAGATAAGGTTATTCGAGGAATAAACTTTCAGATTCATATTTAAATCCCAATAAATAATATGTAGTCAAAATTAAATATAGTAAGGTACAATCGACATGTCTACGGGTGCTTCCACTAAACGACATGACTTGAAAAAATAATAGAAAAGCACGCACGTGCAACGAGGACAAAATAAGAATAAGATAACAGCCCAGTATATACATCATCCACCTTTCGAAACTAACTACGAGGGTGGCGCTAATTTTCTCTTTCGATTCATAATTAAATAGAAAACAGGTTGAGCTCAGAGTTTTTATGTCGACCATTACCATTAAAACCATTTGTTCTTCTTCCGCGAAATCAGGGGGGGGGGGGGTCTGGTCTAGGTCTCTACTTTTCTGAAGGGGAGTGTTAATTACTCTTGTGTAATAAGATTGACAAGGTCTTCATGTCTTTTGTCCTTCTGCTATTTATTCTGAATAGTGTAGTTGTGTTTTGTGGCCAAGTTTCTATTTCGACATCACCCCCGCGTGAGAACAGTGAAGATATATATTTTCGAGCTCAAGTACTTCCTTATTTCAGCTTTTAATCAACTATAAAGGCGATATGTTCAGTCGATTGCAACGGTTTTTCCCTCTGGCATTCACGAGTGTTCATAAAATGATATAATACTTGTATATGTTTAAGAGAACTAGTCCTAACGAACAAAGGAAACTCCAATTTGACTATACTACATTGCGACGATCATATCCACTATACAGATTGAGTAATACGTATGTATACGGGCTTGGACCAGAAATTTCGTACAAAGGGAAGAGATCTGACCATTAGCTGCATGTTATAACTTGTAAAGTTGTAAGAGAAATAATGCCGACTATTAATGATAATGATGAAATAGCAAATAATTTAGGAGTTTCATGGGTACCACCAATTCAATGGAAAAAGAGCCCCCGTCTGTACTAAAAGAGCCCCCGTGAGAAGGCTCACAGGGGCGCTTTTTATTTTGGAAGAGCCCCCGTGGACAAAAAATTAATTTGGGCCCTGAGCCGCTGTATGTGATCTTACAAAATATTCAAACAATCATCATCATCATCGTCATCACCATCATCATCTGACATCATCATCATCATCGTCATCGTCATCATCATCTGACATCATCATCATCATCATCATCATCATCATCATCATCATCATCGTCATCACCATCATCATCTGACATCATCATCATCATCATCATCATCATCATCATCGTCATCACCATCATCATCTGACATCGTCATAATCATCATCATCATCATCGTCATCACCATCATCATCTGACATCATCATCATCATCATCATCATCATCATCATCATCATCATCATCATCATCATCGTCATCCCCATCAAACCCTTCCCTATACTACCTACTAACCCGCTTCATCTAAAGCCATTGATCGGTCATGTTGACCATTCCCGACAGCCCTCTGCAAGGTGATGTGGTCCAAGCCACTGGACATGGTCTTGTGGTGGTCAGGCATATACTGCTCCACGGCAAAGTTGTACGACATAGCTGAGGGGGGGAAATAGCAATGAAATGAAACAATGAAATTCAGCTTCATATAACTGCAGTCTGTTTTAAAGCCCGTCTACACAAGTTTATCCAGGAGGGATTGGGCCTTCCTGCAAGGGCACTGACAGGTGGTTATCTCATCAAATCAACTCTCAGTTAACATAAGAAAAAGGAGATCGTGGGGGACCAACGGTCACCGATTAGACATTGTTTGCTATATAGAGGGCGCAAGTAGCTATACGTAGTGCAGTGGGGCTTTAAGACCAAATTCCTCTTTAAATTTATACACTTATAAAATTTAGACAGAAAAAAAAAATGTAGATCAACAATTCACTGTGAGCATTTCCTCCAATGTCCTTTGTTGAATGATTACAACTGAGGGTAAAAGCTGATATTCATGAGGATGGGGGAAGACATCAACCCTTGACAATTATATGTATCTCAATCAGTAATTGACCTATTGAGGACAATTACCATTGAGACAACTAAGCCGAATACTCTATAGAATTATTAAAGGGGGATAATTACTTAGGGGGGATAGTTTTCTGAAGAAGTACATGCATATAACTGTTGGTAATTATTCTTATAGTGAGCACTACAAAATGAAAAATAAATAAAAAATTTCCCTCAACCAGGCCCCCCTTGAGTAAAAAAAAATAAATAAGAGATTGTGGGGAAAAAGTGGCATCTAACAACATCCCCCCTCCCCCTTTTGAGTAAGAAAAATGGGAAATATTAGGGAAAAATGGGAAATATTAGGGAAAAATAGGAAAGAATAGAGAAAATAGGGGAAAAATCAGGAAAATAGGGGAAAAATCAGGAAGAAGAAAAAAAATCAGGAAAAAAATAAATAAATCAGGAAACAGATTTAAATCGGGTTTTTATTTTTTACAGGCCTGTAATGGAAATCTTTCCAAAGGGACTACACATTTATTTGTGCACAGGGGTAGTTGTCCAGATAGTAAATCATCTAATAACATCGTCATCTTTTCTAAGATCATCAAGAGCTGATTGATGTATAACTTGCAGATATCGGAGAAGGGGAAAGGTGTAGCCATCCAAAAGGAGGGGGCAATACTTATTCAAAATTTATTCAATAGAATTACAAATCACAACACTGTGATCCTTTCTAAGATCACATTTTGCCTTTAGATGTATTACCTGCAGGTGAAGGAATGTACTTCATGTAATCTGGACGATTCTTTCTCTCCAGTGGACCAGGGAACCACTCTTTTGCCTCTGTGGTACTTCCTAAAAATAAAAAAATTGGCAAAAACAAAGATAATAATTTTTTGATTGTGTAAAGGCAAAAGATACATTTTGAAGTTTCCTCATTGTTATTAATCTCCTTCTTCCTCCTCCTCCTCCTTTTTTTCCTTCTCCTTCTCCTTCTTCTCCTCCTTTTTCTTCCTCCTCCTCCTCCTCCTTCTTTGTCCTCCTCCTCCTCCTCCTCCTCCTCCTCCTCCTCCTCCTCCTCCCCCTCCCCCTCCCCCTCCCCCTCCCCCTCCTCCTCCTCCTCCTCCTCCTCCTCCTCCTCCCATTCCTTCTTATTTTTTTTCTTTTTCTTCTTCTTCTCCTCCTCCTCCGCCTTCATCTCCCCCTCCGCCTTCATCATGATCCTCTTCTGCTTCCTTCTCTTTCTCCTCCTCCACCTCATCATTGTCATCACCATCATCATGATCACCCTCTTTATCACCATCACTTCTATTATCACGATCACTCTCAAAGTCCTTACCATATACTTTCTGGAGGGTCAGTTGCTGTCTAAGAGCCATGATCTCCGGATCGTAGGTGTGGACGAGAGCCTTGTTACCCCCCAGTGCTTTGAGAAGCTTGCGACGGTAAAAGCGCCGCCAAGCGAGCTGGATGGTACAGGCCGCTATCTGACGCTCCCACACATCCTCGTCCTTTCTCAACAACCGCCTGAGCTGCACCGCATGGACAGTGTGCATCATCTTGGTGTTGCATTGTCTGTAGCTGAATATACAGATTAAAATAACAATATTAACAGAGATTGCTACAACAACAAAAAACTATAGAGGTCGCAATAAAATAAACTTTGAGCATCAGTTTTTAGTTGCAATGTTTGTAACTTTATAAACAGATTATAACAGTAGTATTAACAGAGATTGCAAATAACTAAACTATAAAAATGTATAAACTGTACGCAACATCTTGCTAAAACCTTATCAGTAGATGAGTTTGAAGATTAGTTGGTACTATATGATCAACACCAAAAGTGCATGAAGCGATGGGCGGAAGAATACCAGGATAAAGCACTATCAAGATCGCAACTTCTTCATAAACATTTTCTGCAATGAGCTCTTATTTATCTGTCCATTTGATCGTACAACATGCATCATCTTGATAATGTATTGTATGTAGCCAGAAATTACAACAGAGATTATAATATACAAATTGTGTGTGTCATCTTAATAGTAAGGTATTGTCTGTGAACATGTGGAGAGACTACAATGGATATCTTAAATATTATAAATTATCAATTAATATCATCATCATCGTTGTGGTCGTCGTTTTCGTGGTCGTCGTCGTTGTCATCATCATCATAATATAATAATAATAATAATAATAATAATAGCCTAATAGTCCACTCCAAATTTTATTAAACCGAAACGGAAATTCTTTTTGCCCAATTGATCGTGAGCCCGGCAGCCACTGAGCAGCGCCAGATTGACGTTGCTCTATCCCTTATTGTTGAACGCCAAACAAGGTAGCAACATGACCATGACCATAACCATCATCATCTTCACCATCATCATCACCATCATAATCATCATCATCATCATCATCATCATCATCATCATCATCATCATCATCATCATCATCATCATCATCATCATCATCATCATCATCATCATCATCATCATCATCATCATCATCATCATATCATCATCATCATCATCATCCTCATCATTTTCCATACTCACTTTCTCCACTTGTTCTGAATGACGGTAGCAGCTCTGTTCTTTCTCCTCATGTCGGCTAACCTCAGTCTCTCCTTACTCACCACCTTCCTCCTCTCGTTCAGGATCCTCAGCTGACCTTCCTCATCCCCCGCCTCCTCCAGTGGTACTGAACATGGGTTACCACTCCCTAGCAACGGTGGTCCTATGTTCATGGCAACACCCATCTTCTCTCCATCCTCGTCTCTGGAGAGCGTTTCACTCGATGGAGCAAAACCCTCCGACAAATTCACAGATGCATCGACAGCACTGTTGTTGTTGTTGTTGGTGTTAGCATTCTCTTGAGTCCATCCATTCTCTTGGAGTTGGGTTCGATCCTGCGGAGGCGGGAGCATCTCTTGATTCGACGTTGAGATGCGGTCTTGACTTTGGGAGCTTAACGGTGTGGAGGAGGAATCGGGGTTATCGCCCTTTTTGCTCTGCTCCTCACGTTTCCTAAAAAGAGAAATATCATTGGACATATGTTTTTAAGTAAAATTTCAAGTAAAATAACAACTTAATGAAATGGGATACTTTTGAAAAATTGCCCTTTCATAACAAATGTAGAGGAGCTTGTGCAGAGATCTTCCAAATTCCAAACTTCATTTTTGTCTCACTCTTCATTGAATTTTTCTCAAGCTTTCATACCCAATACCCTGATCATTCAGAATTTATTCAATTCAAACTCGAATTTGGATGTGGCTCCCATTTTCAGGAGTGCTGGGTATCCTTTTAAACATTTTCATTTCGTTGGCTGGTTTGACCTGACTGCTATAAAGAAAGCACTTGTATGCTTATAAGTAAGCAACCAGCCTTCCGTCCTCTCCGAGGAACTTGGTAATAAGGACTAATTCTTTACCCCAGGGCACTAGTGCAAGGACCTGTGCCATTGAGCCATTACACCGCCAAAGATGTTAGAAGATTGTTTGTTGCTTAGTTTAATTATTAAAACATGATGTTGTGTTCTTACTTTGCTGCTGCATCTTTTCTCAGCTGTTCATGTTTCATCAACAGCTTCTTTCTCTCAACAAAGGTCTTGCGAACACAGAAACCTCGGAAACGACACTGTAAAGAAAGGAAGAACATCAAACAATGGGTGGGAGATCAAGGCACCATCATGAATGCTTAAATAAACAACTGGCTTAATACTATTAACTTCCCTCAATGCATGCACAAATATATTTCATTTTTTTAAATATTTTTATTTCAACACAAAATTCAATTGTAAACAATCAAAAGTTTGATTTACATGTAGAAAGCAAATTACATACAACTTATAAAGTACTAACTACATGTTTACATCAAGCATAAGGAAGAGAAACACAACAGGAATATTATCAAATGGCATTTATTACCATAAAAATCCCATATAAACAGTGTCTACTTTCAATGTTCCTCTTGAAAAGATGAGAGTTGCACAACCTGTCTCAGTGATCTAACTGTGTACAGTGGCCTCTTTTGCCATTTCCCAAACAGTGACCTTAATAGACACGTTTGGAAGTGCAGTGAAACCTCCTTGAACAACCTTCTGCATAGGAAGACCACCTGTCTATAAAGACCACATCTCTTTAGCCCCTTGAGAACAGTGCTTCTCCCTGAAACCTGTACTAAAGTACCTGTACATAAAAACTACCTGTCTATGACAACGGTTCTTTTGGTCTCTCTTGTGTGGTCTTTACACACAGGTTTAAATACAGTCGACCCTGTCTATAGCGACCTTACTTGTATACGAGTGGCAGCCATGTCCCTGATACCGGTGATAGAGAGAGCGCCCTGTTCCACCATGTACTGCGATACCTCATGGTGGTCGTTGAGGAGGGTGTAGTCAAGGGGTGTGAAGCGGTCCTCTGTCAGCTCCATGTGATTAGGGAAAGCCCCATGATCTAGTAATAACCTGGTAGCATCTAGGTATCCTGTACTACACGCCCAGTGAAGAGCCGTCATCCCCTGTGAAAACAATAAAAACAAAAAGATATATACAGTTCATATATAGAGACACCAGCGGAAGATTCCTGTTGTGATCTGATCTTGAGTTGATTCGCCATGTTCAATAAACCTGTTGACCACTGAATTCTCTCATTCCCATAAACTTAACACAGAAATCCCCCAGTTCCTGTAGACATTACCTTATGACTTTTGACATCTGACCTGATGAATCAAATCTCTAGATTCAGTTCACCTATTCATGCTTATACCTACTTCATCCAAATTTGCTAAAAGTGCTTCAATGGTTCTCTAGTTAAATCAGTCCCCCCCCCCCCCAACACCAACAACAAAACAAAAAGTGGGGAAAGCAAATAAATGATGGGGGGACAAAGCAATACAAAAAAAAGCCCCAGCACCAGTGATTTAGCATAGGTCCAGCCTTCAAAGGTACACTGGCATCATGGGGAGGGAGGGGGAAAAGAGGGAAGGGGCATTTGTTTTATTCAATCAATAAATGAAATGTGATGTAAGAAGAAGGGCTGTGAAAGGAGATCCAATCATCTTTTCTTATCCTCCTCCCCCCCCCCCTCCTTTTCCTTACCTCCTATTCTCTCCATTAGTCTTTCCTCATGTTAATTTTTTCTTCCACTTGACAGGGCCCAAAGTCCTCCCTTCCCTTTTTCCCCCTTTTCCCTCCATTTTTCTTTCCTTTTTTCAGTCTATGTCCTCTCATACTGCCTTCCCCCCCCCCCAGCAGCTACTCCACTGTGCAGCACCACCATGGTGATATGGCATAGTTACATTTGTGAGAAGACTGTAACCTCACCTCATTATCCTGTAGATTAGGGTCTGCGCCATGCTCCAGGAGTAGGGTCATACAGCGGATAAATCCCCCGTAAGCAGCGCACTGGAGAGGGGTACGGCCTGCATTGTCCTGGACATTGGGACTGATGTCATGGGTCATGAGGTGGTAACAGACACAGGTGTGGCCTCCCAAAGCAGCCCTGTTGAGGAAATTCAGAACAAAAATGAGAATAAGTATCAATAAGTTGTGGCGTGCGCATGTATTCCAGCTAACAATGGAAGATACAAACTGATTCAGCCGAGGACGCAGGTTCGAAACTGAGTCACGATTTTCAGATGGTGACGTTAAAGGTCGGTCCCCAGACGTAAATAATCATATCTGATTGATACACGTCTGTAGAAACCCAATTACACACACACATTATGCAGATCAGGGAGCAGTTGTACGATAATTGCTGCTATCACAACTGCTCCACAATATTATTTCTTCCACTAACTTAATTCCTAGCTTCATCCCTGGACCTGCCACTATATCTAACCCTGGCCTTAACTCTAACCCAACTAAAATCCTAAATTTGATACATATACAAATTAAATTTTTAAAATATGCACTGCTTATTAGAGGTCCAAATGATACAAATAATATCAGATTTTAATAATGAGATAAATAATATTCTGTTTTTGTATAATGCATATCATTTTGTGATATAATGTCTCTATGCACTTTCAAAAAGCTTATTGGATATTCTTATCCAAGCTTTAGCTCGAGCAACTGTATCACTCAGTGCATTCAAAGAATAAATCCTACCAAATACCAAATTGCTACACCTACACGTAGGTCGAGTGTGGCAAATGTGGATCTTGCCAAAGGACGTATTGCTGCAACAGGGATTCCAACCCTGTACCTTGTGGTTCAGTCAGGTGACATATCCACTACACCCCAACACCCCTAGACTGTGTCATATTAGGACACATAAATGGTATTCCCAACTGACTGTAAGTTTGACATTAAAAAGGGTCCACGTCTAGTTCCTTATACTTACCAGTGAAGTGGAGATCTGCCTTCTTGGTCTACTACCTTGACTTGAGCTCCACCTGTAAAATGTGAAGAATGTTAGAATCAGTTGAGAACAACTTGCAATTGGACTGCTTCTCATCGTTCTTCTTAGGCTAATGCTTTAAATTTTTGTCTACATTCATCTCACTCTCTCTCTCTCTCTCTCTCTCTCTTTCTACATCCCTTAATCTTTCCCTTTCTTACTGTAGCCAAGTATTTAGACATTGGATTCCATGTGCACATGCACCGTTCTACTGCAATCACATATATCGGTGCGTCGACTAGACCATTCCCTCGTCGCATTTGTGTTTATTGAGAGAGTTTTTGAACTTGCAATATCTCTCTACAGAGTTACTATTTGATGCTCATATCTTTAATATAGTATAGCGACATCTGACCCATTACATACAGATCAATTTTTCTTCTGTTGATTAATATCCTTTTAATGACTGTGAATACCTTTGGCTAATGTCTTCATGACCTCTGTATGACCCATTTCGGCTGCTCTGAAGAGAGGTGTGTGTTTGGTCTGATCCACTACATCAACTGCTGCACCGTGCTATACAATAGGAACAAATCAGCCATTACTTTAAGTTCAGTACACTCAAACATGACAGCTACCTGTACAGAAAGTCCACCAGTCTATAAAGACATTTTTTTATTTACCTTGAACAGTGGTTCTCATTTAAACGTGCATCAAAATGAACTTGTCTTTAAAGACAAACTGCACATAAAGAATGTTTTCTCATCTCCTTTGAGCAGTCTTAATACAAAGGTATTACTGTACTTGGAACAAACATGGAATTTAATAAATGAAGATACAAATACAGCAAAACATGGGAGAAAGATGGATTTTAGGTAAAGTATCATGTGGAAGGTTCATTAACTACATGTTTCACCAAAAAACACTAACCTAGTAGGAAAACAGAAGCTGTGGCCTTTGAAGACAGGTAGTTACTCTATACAGGTTGTCACTACTGCATGTTTGACTCTATTGTGATTGGCATATACATGTATATTATATACATGCATATATATTGAAAGATACGGTAGGATGTATAGAGTAAAAGTTAATATGGATTAATAAATAGCTGAATTTCACAAGTGATTGAGATTTACAAAAGATTTAACACTACAAAATATGTTAACGGCAAACACAGGGTTATTCACATTTGCAAGTTTCATTGCACTAAAATAGCAACTGATAAAAATTTGTCAAGGTTTTGATTTCACAGCTTACCATCACTAGCAATACAAAAGGGAAACATCTCCAAATCATCTGATTTTTTTAGAAGAAATATTGGAGTACTGGATTTACCTGCAAAAGAACTTCCACTGTACTTGCATGCCCTGACATAGCTGCAGCATGGAGAGCTGATAAAGAAATGAAAAAAATTACAAAATATTGAAATAAGGGGACTGCTCACCAGTCAAAGTCAAAGTCAAGTCAAAGTTTATTCAACACTCTTCATAAAAACATTTAAAACATACACATACAGAATGGAGTTATAAAAAACTAGATGGAATTTTGACTGCGCGCAGTCGAAAATGATGCCTCCCCCATAGAGCAATTTAAACAAGTTTGGAGTTTAAATCTCCAGTGGTTCTTGAGATATCATGATAACAATCTCAATTTATGGAATTTCATAAGTTGACCTCTGTGACCCTTGACCTTTGAACTACGTGCTCCAAAATCTAATCAGATTGTCTTCCTATGGTGATACACACTATCATTAAGTTTGAAGTTTAAATCTCCAGTGGTTCTTGAGATATTATGATATGGTGATACATACTATCATTAAGTTTGAAGTGAAATTCTCCAGTGGTTCTTGAGATATCGCGATAACGATCTCAATGTATGGAATTTCATAAGTTGACCTCTGTGACCCTTGACCTTTGACCTATGTGCTCCAAAATCTAATCAGATTGTCTTCCTATGGTGATACATACTATCCTTAAGTTTGAAGTTTTTACATCTCCAGTGGTTCTTGAGATATCATGATAACAATCTCAATGTATGGAATTTCATAAGTTGACCTCTATGACCCTTGACCTTTGACCTACGTGCTCCAAAATGTAATCAGATTGTTTTCCTATAGTGATACACACTATCACTAAGTTTGAAGTTTAAATCTCCAGTGGTTCTTGAGATATCATGATAACAATCTCAATGTATGGAATTTCATAAGTTGACCTCTGTGACCCTTGACCTTTGACATACGTGCTCCAAAATCTAATCAGAATGTCTTCCTATGGTGATACATACTATCCTTAAGTTTGAAGTTTAAATCTCAAATGGTTCTTGAGATATCGCGCTAACAAACTCAATACAAGGAATTTCATAAGTTGACCTCTGTGACCTGTGACCTTTGACCTACGTACTCCAAAATCTAATCAGATCGTCTTCCTATGGTGATAAATACTATTCCCGAGTCTTAAGTTTAAATCTTAAATGGTTCTTGAGATATTGTGATAACGGTCAAACGGGACGGACGTACGGACGTACGGACGGACGTATGGACGTACGGACGTACGGACGGACAACCCGAAAACATGATGCCTCCGGCACCACCTTCGGTGGCGGAGGCATAAAAACAAGAAAGTGATAACTAATACAATGGAAATTTATAAGAGCATTTGGGATAGGCAGAAAGGAGGGATTCCTTATATAAAAGCCTACCCCTAAAAACACACATACAGGAAAACAAGAACAAAAGAACAGAACAAAAACAAACACAAGTGAATCAAACAGATTTCCTTTCATATAGGGGCATCTATAATCTCCACGGATGTTAAAGACGTACACTTTACAATGTATAAGCAATCTACCTTTTAATCTTGGGGGACAAACTTTTCTAAGTTTAATACCATACAAGGTTTGGTACAACAAATATCTTTCAAAATAAACTAACCTGTGGCTCCAGTTTTATCAGTAGCGTTGATATCCTGCTTGTATCTCATCATGACCTCTATGACCCCGTCGGCTCCCTTCCCAGCAGCCCACATGAGCGCTGACCTTCCTTCCAGGTCAGGCTCGTCCGTGATTCCTTCTCTCTGGAGAAACACCTCCACAGTCTCCTGTATTAAAGTAGACAGAATTATAGCCAGTTCAGACTAGTTGAATTTTATACGAATCTCATATAAAGAAACATTGTATAAACAATCATTATATAGTGGAAGGGGCATACATACTGGACAACATCATGTACAGAAACGTTATATAAAGAAACTAGTTTTAAAATGGTAAGGTGATATGACAAATACCAGTCATCAGTGAGCGCTCATGATAAGCCATCCCCAGATACCCAATATTTCTATAATACGTCATTCCGACAAGAGCAGGACCCTAATTCTTCATTAAGTTTTTGTTCAAAACAATGCTCAAACATCCATTTAGTCACATGAACTTTGGTTATACAGTTCTCTAAACAATGTTCAGACTAGAAACATTTAATCACTTAAATGTATCGTAAAGCTATACAATGAGTTCAGGTGGTCTGAACATGGGGCTTAGGTTCACCTTGCTGTGAGTTAGAAAAAAGGAAATGCAGATTCAACCTTAAATATTGTTGCATTCAGTACATATTATACAAATAATGAATGGTTATGAGTTCAATAGTGCGAATATTTTCATGAGTTGAAAGATTAACATTCTATTCAACGAGGCGTCAGCCGAGTTGAATAGAATTAACGTTAATCTTTTAACGAATGAAAATATTCGCACTATTGAACGAATGAAAAACATTCATTATTTGTTTTATACAACATCTAAGAAGATCTAATAGAACGTTAATCAACAAATTATGCTTTACTCCTTATATTAAAGATATATTAAAGTTGGAGTCAAGCCTTCTCGATTACATTCAGATTGCCTTCGCGTCAGATACACGCAGGGATACGCACGCGCACGGCTGAGAGGTACGCAGTCTGCATATAACCAAAAATGCACGGCGCATATAACAAAAAATGCACGACCGTGCAATATAACATCTATTGAATATCATGTGACCAACAATCATCCAATCAAATGACAAGGATCCACGTAGGTGTTGTATAAAGAATTATATACAAATATGTTTTTGAGTGCATTTGTTAATATACACTGCACTCAGTTTAAAGGGAAAGTCCACCCCAAAAATAAGTTTGTTTCGATAGAGGCAGAATAATAAGAAAATCAGGTGAGTGAAAGTTTGAGCAAATTCTGAATGAAAATAAGAAAGTTATGAATTATTGAAGTTGTGATCAATCAAACACAAATTGGCAACTCTATGACGTATCATGCGAGCTCAACTTCCATTTGCTCAGTGCTAAAAAAATCTAAAATTTTCATTTTCCCTCAAGAAAAATTTCAACCATACATGCACCCTAAATATAATAATTGCAAATATGTTTCTATACTCCCCCTGCAAGGAACAAATATATATTCCGTCATCAATAACGAAGAAAACATGATTTTATGGAATATTATGCACAAAGCAAATGAAGGAGAGCTCGTATGATAAGTCACAGAGTTGCCAATTTGTATTTGATTGATCACAACTTCAATAATTCATAACTTTCTTATTTTCATTCAGAATTTGCTCAAACTTTCACTCACCTGATTTTCTTATTATTCTGCCTCTATCGAAACAAACTTATTTTGGGGGTGGACTTTCCCTTTAAGTGGCAATCAGATTATGAAAGAGACTTGTCAAAGTCATTATTTTGATAATTGTGACTTAACCGAGTGCAGTGCACATCGCAATTGCACAAACACCATTGATATGAATGTATCCTATTGAAGCACACATCCAAATCATGAGTAACCAATCATGAGTGATGCAAAAATGCAAAGGCGTTAATTTTTGTGCAAAGACAACAAGAAAACATGACTTTATAAATTCTTGCAGCTTGTATGTTTTACCACTACAATACGTTCATCTGTTTACAAAATATTGAGATGATACATAATCATATTTTCATTTTGATGTAAATTTTGGGTAAACTTTGCAAAAATAATTGTACCGCAAAAATTATTTCATTTAAAGATCTATGTCGGAATATTGATTTACCGTATGATTATTCTGTGCTGCATAATGTAAGGGCGTGGCACCATTGGAGTCCGAGCAGCTGTAGTTGGCATTCTTGTCCAGCAGCATGTTGACCATATGGGTGTGGCCTAGGACCGCCGCCCAGTGGAGAGGGGTGCGAAACATGTTGTCCAGGACGGAGATGTTGCACTTGACCAGTGGGGTCTGGGTTCACAGGACGAATGGTCAGAAAAGTTTTAGGCGGACACATACTATGCGATCACAACAATTTTAAGATGATGCTATACTAGCGGTTTCATTGAACAAAATTTAAAATACTAATGTGCTTTAATAAGGAACAATCTTTTGGGAGTAATAAAGAGTGTTTTATGGCATATTTTTACAACACCTATGATATACTTCCTGAAATTTTCAGGAGCACAAATGACAAATCCATAACCATGCACATACTACTTAGTTTGGAGGTAGAAGGACATTCAATGATATACTTTTAACATAGAGTTAACCCCCTTCTGTCTCTGAACAGACAATATCTTTATATATGATACAATATTAAGTGTTTCGTCTGACAATATAGGTAATTATATTCTGCATCAAAAATTTGTCGGCTTCTGATTGGTTGAGAGCTCGTCACATGACCAAAAATATTTGAGCTATTTTTAGAAAGTACTATATGAGAGTACTATTTTGGTTTACTATTTGGGAGTTGGAAAAAAAAAAAAAAAAAAAAAAATTAAATTAAATCAATTTTTTTTTTCAAATCTTGATTTAATGAAAACAAAATATTTTAAATCTTTTTAGATAAAAATTGACATTTTTTTTGTTCTAAAATTTTTTTTCCCAAAAATGTTTTTTTTTTTTTTTTTTTTTTTTTTTAAATTAATTTTTGATGCAGGATATAAAACAAATATACCATGCCTTCTATTCGAGGTACTGGTTAAACTATGGGCCTCGGTGACTCCAAAAGTACCATTTGCTTCGGGGCTGCGCCCCTCAGCAAATAGTACTATTGGAGTCACCTCTTGCGCATAGTTTTAACCAGAACCTCTCAAGGCAGTGTATATTTGTATACTATATTCAATACAGCAGACTACTTTCTTCAATGATTTCAACTTCATACTTCAAGACATACATACCTGAAAATCGACTAGGCGTTGGACTATCGCAGCGTTGCCATTAGCGACGGCCAGATGGAGTGCCGTCCTACCCTCGTAGTCCTGCCAGTTGACCACGCTCGGTTCAGTTTCCTACAAGATTATTGAATGGTATTGGAAACACTAAAGCCGCGTTCAGATATGATGTGGCAAAAGAAATGGGTTTATATTTTAATGACGACATGTAAAATCCTTCACACTTCTCTATCTTATAACATAGAGCTTAATGAATATGCGCAGGACCATTGTTGCGCGCTACTGCCATTAATTTACACAAAAAAATTAAGCCTTTATTTGCGGCAGTTTAATGCATCACATATACGAACCCAAGTGTTGTTGGTACATTTCATTTATCGCATTGGATCTAATTGTCTACATGTACATGATGTCCATATCTGTCCATCTACAGTAAACAAAGCGAAGAGAGGGCAATAGAAGATGCAAAGAAGAAACAAAGTGGCTTCAAGCCCCTGCTGCAGTGCCACTGTCGTTTGCATTAACATTTTCCACTCTCCACCCAGATAAATTAAAATGGGTTATGAACAAACAAAAATCCTTGAATGCCTCATCACCTCATCATTGCAACTTGACTAAATTTGGGCTATTAATATTATTCAGTGCTGTGTATCAACAGAAAAGGTTATTTTATCAATCTAGCTATAATTCCCATTTGTGTACAACTAACAAAAAATTAAACTGGTGATAAATTTTTCTGGATACAAATTTTGAAAAAAAATGGAATCTCTATTCAGAAATAAAGAACACTTTGTCACACTTAGAGCTGAATCGATTGAAAATACTTGTCGAATTTTTTATTAATTCATATATCTTTTGGAACATCAAAATTCAAGATCATATTCTATTAAAATAATAAATTTATGACATTTAGTGTGCAGACGGCACTTTCACTCCCAAAATCCTAATAGCCATTCAAGGCAGATTTGGCCCTATAGTGTCAAGTTAACCGGACCACATTCTTACCAGTATGTGCTGAACGGTGTTAATAGCCGTGGGGGAATCCCCTGCGTTTGCTGCCCAGTGGAGTGGGGTCTTCCCATCAGTGTCCGGTATACCAATGTTGGAGCTCTGAAAAGAAGAGAAATAAGTCAGTTCATAAATACCGGCTCATCCAAATTCAAGATCATACCTGCCACCTTCTGTAGTTTGAAGTTACAAGAACATTTAGGCAATAAGATAACTTAGGCTTTTCACTTCATGGTTGAAACTTTTTTTACTTATGAAATTTACTTAACTACCGGTAATATGTTTCTTCATTTATTCATCAAATTTCATATAAATAGCAGTCAAACAAACATCTGCGCAAGGAGAAAATTCTGTTTTGTTCACCCACATGATTGAATTCTATGAAAATGGAATGTAAAAAAAGTGAGACTTGAAATTAAATATAAGACTTACATGTTTTACAAGCATTCTGACTGCTTCCTCATTCCCATATGATGCGCTCCAATGCAGAGCAGTTCTCTGAAAATGGAAGGGACAAAGAATACTGATGTTAAATTCCTATTTCAATATTCATACCATATATAAGAAATACAATACCACACAATCTTAAGAAATATTTGTTTAATTTTGCTTATAATTGATTACCATTACCTTTCATGTCTGTACCTTTCCTATTGCACTTTTGTATACATTTATCATGGATTTCATCTTTTGCACAAGCTGCGCCTTGAGCATTTGATTGTCAAGTGGATTTGGCACCTTATAAATCTCATGTATTGTTATTATTACCATATCCATCTCAGAAGATGCTTGAGGCACTCATACCATACCATGATAACCCTGGCTTTGGCCGAGCCTCCGTAAGGCACTGAAAGCATTCAAGGAACTACTTTCTATTCATTATCTACACCTGGGTGGAGAGTGGCAATGGTAGATTGATGTCTTGCCAGAGGACATTACTAATTTGCAGGCACAAACCCTTGTCAGTCATAATGCGTAAAAGAGTGTCTGATATGCAAGACTATATAGACTGGATGGTCCACTACACCCCATAGGTTCTAGACTAGAGATGTTCAGACAATGACATGGTTGGGCTAGGCTCAAGGCGTTCTGGAATTATGTTTCATTTTTAGTGCCAAATAGAGTCTGGGTGATCTGACATTTGCTCGGGCAACAACTACACCAGGTTTTATTTCATCAAAAGTATAGGGTTAGGGATAGGGTTGCAATAGAGTTTTAGGTGAGGTTTAGGTTGAGGATCAGTGTTCGGGTTTAGGTTAGGTATAGGGTTAGGGACAGGTTACGGTTAGGTATATTGGGTACATGGTTGAAGTTTGATTTATAGTGGAGGAAATTTCCATGGAGCAATTGCCACAGTAGTATGTGTCGTACAAACTTGAGTCTATGCATGCAGGCCAAGACATTGGTGAAGTAGCAGGGACTTGAAACCCCTTCCCTTGTGTTTAATACACAGGCTTAGAATTAATCAGATCGATATGTCTCTGGCTTAACTACCTTGGAATTATCTTGCTCGTCCACTTCTCCTGGCAAGAGTTGTTTCATGATGAGCGCAAGGCATCTGGTATCTTTGTGCCTGGTGGCAAAGTGAAGACACGTCTGTCCCTCATTGTCCTTCTCCCTCCAATAGGCTCCCTTTGAGACCAGCAGCTTGCACAGACGAAACACTCCCTGCAAACACCAAAGAAAAAATAGAAATGATAATAATATGTTCTTGTTTAGCAGCTATAGACGGCCATGAAGAAGAACTTGGATTCCAACTAGAAAGAAGGAGAAGTAGGAGAGTTGGTCCGGAAATCATAACAGACCTAGATTTCGCCGATGACATAGCCCTGCTATCTGAGGAATTAGAGCAAGCCCAAAAACTCCTGAGCAGGGTGGAGACATCGGTAGGCAAGGTCGGGCTCCGGATGAATTCAGGCAAAACCAAGTTCATGTCATTCAATCACAGGGGGATCATCACTATAAAAACAAACGATGAAACTCAGTTGGAGAATGTACCTGATTTCAAGTACCTGGGAGCACTGATGGTGAGCACAGAAAAAGATGTGAAAGCTCGTAAATCAGCAGCATGGAGAGCGTGTAGCAAGCTTGGAAGAATCTGGAAATCTTCTCTTCCTAGGCAGTTCAAACAACGTTTGTTTGTTGCTACAGTTGAATCTGTGCTTCTATACGGCTGCGAAGCATGGGCAGTTACAACAAAGCTGGCAAAAGAATTAGATGGTTGCTACACCAGACTTCTTAGGACAGCATTTAACGTGCACTGGAGCCAGCATATAACCAATAAGGAGCTGTACGGGAATCTACCAAAAGTATCAGAAAAGATCAGGGAAAGAAGACTACGTTTTGCAGGCCACAGCTGTAGGAACATCAATGAACCAATATCTCTGCTTTTACTCTGGAAGCCTAAACACGGGAAGAAGAAACCTGGAAGACCTCATCTTACTTATACAGACCTACTCAAGAAGGATACGGGACTTGAACTGTCAGAGATAAAAGCAGCCATGCTGGACAGGAATGTGTGGATGGCCATCACAGCTCGGGCAGTTGACCCGACTTAAGCAAGCTTGTTTAGCACCTATCACATTGTGATATACAAGATGCGAGTTGGTCTAGCGACACGTTCACTCAGTCAGCTCTCTGTCTTCGCCTACAAACTGGCTCAGGCGACCCAGGTCTGAAACCGAGTCACGTCTTTCGGCTGGTGACTTATAAAGGTTGGTCCCCAGACATAAATAATCATATCTGATTGATTTTTTAATTTTTGTACGCGTCTGTAAAATCCCAATTACACACACACACACGCACACACACGCATACACACATACACGTCTCTACGTGCTCCCAAAGAATTTTGGACATTATTATCTTGGCTCTATAGCTCCAGCAACTGTAGCATTCAGAGCATTCAGGAATAAATCCTACCCGATACACATTCACTACACCTGGGTCAAGTGTGGCAAATGTAGATTATTGTCCTGCCAAAAGATTTTAGTGCCGAAACAGGGAATCAAACCATGTACCTTTAATATGATCTACAGTCCAATGACTAGACCACAATACCCAGGGAATAATTTTCCTGGTATCGCATCGCAATTTGCTATGCATTTTTGCATGACTGCTATACAAAATATCTTTTGTGTAGCAGTTTTCTTCCATAGAAATGTACAGAATTTCATTTGAAATATTTATCCATCGCCTGAAATTGCTAATCAAAAAATTTGAGGAAAATTATTCCCTGATACCTCTACCAAATTTTTGATATGAAACTAGGGGCCATGGTCATTTATAGTTGATCTGTTCCTTTTCCACGCACCCTGGTCATGAGTCAACTCCTTTCATTGAAATTGCAACTATCTTCGCTGTATATTGTGACTTGAATAAGTTGATTATTTGATATAATAGGAAAAGCTGGACCACTTGACCAAAAGATAACATTTTCCACTTCAATTGAATACTGTTTCACATCAAACTGTGTACTGAAGGAACCTGTACATAAAGACCACCTGCCTTAGGTCCCTCGGAGAGGACCTGAAGCCATTGATTGCTTACTAACAAACATTTAAGCTTTCTTAGCAGTCAGGTAAAATAACCACCACTAATGACAGCTTTTCTGGTGTCCCTTGAGTGGTCTTTATGTAAAGGTTTTTCTATAAATAATATTAATCTTAATAAGACCATATTGACTCTTGACAACTATCTGGTGAGAAGCCTGGACCTACCTTGTAAGTAGCCCAGTGCAGAGCTGTTCTTCCACCGTTATCTTTGGCGTCTACATTGGCACCTTTCTTGATCAGGACCTCAGCGCAGTCCAGCCGGTCAGCAAGCACAGCAAACATGAGAGGTGTCCGGCCAAACTGGTCCGCCTGGTCAACTTCTTTGGGGTAAGCTACCAAAATGAAAACAACAATGATTAGCAAAATGATAGAGTAACTAGTTTATGTACAAGTCTGGTCAATGAATTTGGGATAGTTAACCTATGGAATTATGATAATCATATTATGATAATCATACAACAAAATATAACTATTTATAGAATAGCCAACTTCTTTAGGATTTGCTACTTATAATGGAACAGAAACATTCAGCTCCTGACAAAACAATGATTACCAAAAATATTTCAGTATACCTGATGTATCAAAGGAAAATTATACTTTGAATGCGTATTATGTTCATCATTCCTTGGTACTCAGGCATGTACTAAACTCAAAATAGCCGATAATTTGGACATGCCCAGTAAGTTTTGAAAGGATCGAGGTTTAATTTTAACTTTTAAGTACCGGTAGTTGCTTGATGATTACAAGACATCATGTACATTTCTATCATTAGATATGCTGCAACAGAGTAAGTTTGCCATTCTTTATTCATGTGACATCTGGTAAAAAAATATGAAAACTTTATAAGTTAAATCCAAGTGCATAAGGACATAAAAAAAAACCTCTACCGGTACTCAAAGACAAAGTAGAGCCATATTTGCTCAAAATCATGGAAATAAATCTGTTAAAAAACTTTTCTGTGATTATAAATATCATAATTTTTGCATGAAAATCTCCAGTATGACATACTTTTGAGAAGCTTTTGTAGAGCTGTTTTCTGGCCATTGACTGCTGCAGCATGTATCTGTGTGGTGGGCGATGCCTCTCTCTGGAGGGATGTCTTGGAATCCAGTACCCCGCCTCCACGCCCATGGGAGGGGACCTGCCCCTTAACATCAGGGATTGACTTGACTCCTGATGCTACTTGTAATGGGGCCACCTCTGCGTTGTGTCTTTTCATCTGCAAATTAAAAGAATTAAATATATACATAAGTGAAAGTTCATTGTTTATTGAAAAGTTAATCAGTGTTTGCATAAATTTCCAATATAGGTATTTTTCTCTTTTCTTGTTTTAAACCATATTCAGCACTTAACACTCACAGGCATTTGGTCATCACGCGCCGCAATTTCTAAACAGGGGAAAAAAACATAATTCAAAATCTTAACAGGGGGCCCCTGCATGCATACATGTACAGACCCTGAAAATCATAACTTGGATGCATCTCAAGACAAGAATTAGCCTGGATCCCTGCCAAACTAAGAATGTACATCTGCTATAGTACTGCAGAGTTACTCAAATGAGTATTTCCATTGTATGCAAGGTGCATGTATATGGGTCATTCCATCGGGTTGGGTCTTTTCAGCATTTTCATGTGTTTGAATGTTTAGAAGCTATTTACTCAAATTTAAATGTATTTTTAGAAAAATAAAAGTATGTTTTATTTAAGAGTAATGTAGTACAGAATAAATAAACATGAAAACAGAAACTTGTTCATCATATTTTTTTTTTGGTGAGAGTTTTACTACCGATGTCTCAGCGCTTTTGAGGGTGAAAGTTGTGACATGAAAACATGTCATTTTCCTGAAGTTATTTCTGGAAAAAAATTCATCATAATGCAATGTTTCCTACTTAAAACATGTCTCCTTTAATACCCCTACTATGTCTGAGAAGCTTAAGTGAAATGTGCAAAAAATCGGCAAGTTATTCCATATTGAAAAAACACAATACCGACGTTACAACAATGTCCTAGGCACTTTTTTCGTAACGGCGGTAATTCTAACATTTTACACACATTTAGCTGGATATTTTCTCAGAAAGTTTCATCTTATTAGGAAGGTACAACCCCTCATGAACATATGTAGAAAGAATGACGATTAAATCGGTCGGTAAATATAAGAAAATAATTAATTTGCCACAACAATCCGCCGCGATGTCCTTCCTAATTTGGTAACGTCGGTGTGAAATTACGGTGTTTGAGATCAAACCAGCCCGCTAGCTTCAGTTTTTGGTGTTAAAATGACCTGCTAGTTATTCTCGAATGCGCACACATGTTTTTTGATGGTGTGCGACGATCTACCCCTACACTACAGACACAAACCTGACAATGTCCTTGTTACGGCGGTTGGCCGTTTTTGCCCGTCAGCGCCCAAATTGGTACGTAATATGTTTATTTAGTTATTTTTATGTCCCGAATTATTGTCATGGATAATGAAATTCCATGTTTTTTTAATGTAAGTAGGCTTAAAAATGTGTTATTTACAACTTAAAACGGTTTTAAAACCATCCAAAGTGAGTGAATATTTTACTGTTGTCCCACATACCGATATATGTGTTATAACGAAACATGCAAAAACAATGCCGGACTTTTTCCCTTAAAAAGCTAGTTTCTTAAACAGAAATTGAATTTTGTTATAAGAATCCCGTAAATAATGATATTTATGATGTTCCTATACCTCAGAATTTTTCTTTCAAGTGTTAAATTAATTAATATGATTTATATGATGCCATTAATTGTCATTGAACAATGATGGCTAAACCTAATGAAAAACACAAGTTATTGAACATTGTCTCCTTCGAGTTAGGAAGTTTAATCTGAGACCCGAAATATCCAACTTTTGGGCAAAAAGGTGGGTTGAGGGTTGGGGGTTTATATAGAGAAGAATGGACTAAAAGGGGGAGGGCATGCCCCCCCCCCCCCGACTCAATTAAAATTGGATACACAGGTCTAATGTTTTTTTTTTTTTTTCTTTTCTTTTAATTAAATAATTATTGATGTTTTCCATCTGGCTCCCCCTTCCCCCTCATCCAAAGGTTGAAGTGAGGGATAAGGGGTTTCAACACCTTCCCTCCCCTCCAAATAATGATAAATAACAAATACATTTTTTAACAAAAATAATAATTTAACACAAATATTGAACTTAAATGAAAATCTCGTCAAATACGAACAACCAATAATAATACCTACTTCTATTTGGGCATGCAACGAGCCACAAGTGAGGATGATGCCTCCCTATCCATCTTGCAATCCTCTGTGTAGATGTTCCATCCTTAATTCTTACAATGTGATTTTACAACAGATCTAGATAGAAGTACTTATAATTAGCAAACACAACACACGTTTGAAATGAAAAGTCACAGAAACAATTTACAGTTTGTTTTATTTTTATCTTATTTAACATTCTTTACTCATTGGTTTATATTTATTTCTTTTCATGCATATTTATTAGATTGCTGCATCCATTTCATTTATGGCTCCTCTACCTCCCTGAGGATTCAGCTCCGGCAGAGAGAGAGAGATCAAGAGAGCAGGCAAAATGACTAGTCATCGAGATCTTCCTGGAAAACAAAGATCTTTCCAATCTAATCACTATTTTTGAAGAAGATATAAAGTTGATCATTAATATCTATCAATATACCTCTTGTATGAATATTTTTTTATTTTTATTTACTGATCAATGGATGAAATATATTTCAGATGATATTTGATGTAGTCTGTCATGTTTCAATGAGTATAAGAGGAGAGTTACTCTAATATCATACGGATGTTACTCGGACATGATGTCCATGTAACATTGGTAACTGGAGGTGTTGAGGTGAATATAGACCATAAATCTTGCAGGTTTCCTTTCAATTGTGTTATCATCTCATTAAATATGTTCCATACAGCAATTAATTAGCAAATTTCTTAGAATGCAGCCAATATGTTTTATGCAAGAGAAAAGATTACCCTTTAGGCACAAAACATGATCTGAAAATTGCAGGTTCCTCATTTTTGTCATGGTTATAAATTGATATAATGTTTCTGAGTTCGAGTTTTAAGTATTCTAAACTATTGCTCCCATCATCTAAATGTTTTCCCCACAAAAAAAAGGTGGAGTACAGACTGTGAAAAAGTTTGAGATCAGAAAATAAATGAGCAAGTAAAAAAAGATGTCCTTGTAACGTTGGTTTTTTGTTGTGTCTGTTTTTCCATTTTAAATGAAAGTGTGCAAAGGAATACACACAATTGCAATGGAATCTATTGTAGGATTGGTGTTAGAAACAGGATATAACAATAACAAACATATTTACCAACTCTGAATTTTGCACCTTCATGTCACAATTTATGACCCAACCCGATGGAATGACCCATATAGATTCAATCAAATTCAAATGTATTGATTAGAATCCAAACATAGAGGATAGTTCTCAATTTTCTTTGGACAAAGGGAAGCAATGACATGTAGTTGTTGCATATATAGCCCCCCCCCCCCCCACAAGAAACAAAACAAACAAAAAAGGGACCATAGGGGAAAAATGCTCTGAAATAAAGGGGTGGTCAATACCTCCAATTTCAATAATTGTGTAAATGTATGCAAACATTGAATATAGCTCTAATGAAATACAGTTCTTAATTTAGTTGTCAAGTAATACAAAATGAATTCCTGGTACAAAAGAAGAATTTGTAATGATGTTCACATTCTCCAAAACAAACTTTTAAACTTGATATATAGTATACATACTACATAGCACATATATGCTTGACAAAAAAAAAACTGAGAGAGAACACATACTCACATTACCAGATGTCTTTACAAAACATGAAAACATTTTGAGCAAGTCTTCAGAAGCAGGCATAAACTAAATTCATGTATATTTACTATCAACTTATTCTTTCTTTAAAAAACATCTGCTCAGAATAAAGGCTCCTCTCTCTCTCTCCTTCAAAGAACTGGACACAGAAGGCAAGCCAGCTCCTTGGCATGAATATGATAGTCCAAGAAGCAAATGCAGATCATACAACAACCTAAGGTAGAGAATGACTTACTGTATGATCTACAGATGGCAACCACTAGTACTTATTGAGGATTCATTTGTTTGCAAGAGTTCTTTCCTTTGAAACTCTAAAGCTGTTTTGTAGGTAGACAAAGGGGTCTATTGTCCCTGCAGGCTAGTCAATGATTCATGCTCGCTCAAGTGTGGTATAAAAGTACATTGTACAGGTAGCTACATGTACGGTATGTAATGAATTCTATACTCCTACCCTACTCATTTTCTTAGCTGTTTACGTATGAAAAAGAAGGGGCTGTGTGTTGAAGTTAAGCAACTAAATGGAATTAAAAGGAATAAAATCCAACTGCTTTGACAAACTGGATTGGGTGAAAACTAACAGAAAAATCTGAAAAAGTAGTTCCAGGTGAAATTTTGCACAAGAACTTGCCAATAATAAACAATTCAGTACTGACATGTAGGCTTCTAAATAAGTATATTTTTTGCCTGATTATGAATTTGGGGATTTGTCATTTTCCAACAAATGCATAAAAAAGTATATTTACAAAAAAGTGAGAATAAAATTTAAAAATCCCAGAAAATCATGTCATTTCAGCCAAAGCCAAGATCAAGAGACAAAAGGCCTAAAAGACAAAATAAAGGAGAAGTAAGGAAAGTAAGAAAAGGTGTAAGAATTATTTTGTATACAGAAGAAAGATTAATTACAAAATATTTGGAAAAAATATGTGTAGGAGATAATAGAAGAGATAAAAGAAGTATAGCATTAGAGAAAAGGTCAAACAATAAACATAAAGAACTACATAGGGAATAATGAGAGAAAATGATAAAAAGGAGGGAGGAAGAGTCAGACAGAAAATGTCATATAAAATACAAAAAGGGTTAACAACTCAATATGGACTTTAAGTGTGTTTGCATCATTGATAGTGACAGACCTAGGTTCAAGCTACTCATTCGACTAAACTACTATGTGCATAGTAGAACTGATAACCAACATTAAGGTCTTGTATTACAATAACCTAAATGATGCTGACGTGACACAAAACTGTTTAAATCAATGCTTTTTAAATCGTGCCATGCAACTCGGTGTATGATAAATAATGTTAATGGGAATTATTGGAAGTAGAATCACAGGAAGGAGAACTCAAGAGGAAGAGGCCAAGACCCCCCCCCCCCCACACACACACACGTGTACATACACTCACTTAGTAGGGTGTCAGAATGATACTGAATTTTGTTAGAATAAAATGAGCTGTCGAGTCTGGGAAAAATGTGGCACAACTTTTGCAAGATGATTTGAATTTATTTTTATCTTACAATTGAATATATTCGAAGTGACCCTTTTGATCATTCTTTGACATTATATAAGGAGAGTTTTTAAGGCTGACAAAAAGTAAAAGTAGAAGAGAAATTATAAACCTTCTTAATGTCATGGATTTAATTTGCCACTTCCCATTCATTAACAATGGGAAACCGACTTTCTCTGATTGACAGGAGTTTTGTAACCTTTTTCATTTTTTGCAGTAGACCTTAGGCTTATGATCTCAAATTTAGTGTTACAATTTCATACCATCAGAGAGATCATGAAAATTGCATCTGTCCATATTAAAGGGACTTGGTAACATTGTTCAGATGAGAGATAGTGGTGCTAAGGTAGTGACTTCAATGCTAGATGTACAATTAAAGATAATCTGAATATTTGAGTGAAAATGGACCATTATTCATGGTACAAATTGGGAAAAACTGATCTGATCGATTCCTTAATTCTCCCAACTATATTATTACAATTTAATTACATCTTAGGCGAATGGAAATCGTCACAAGGCAATCAAATGGCTCTACATTCCATTCCAGACATTTCAGTGTTGTCAGATTTTTTATAGCCTGTTTTATGTCTTTTTTTCATGGAAAAACGGTTGGGAAAATTAAAATATGGTTGGGATAATTTACTGTTAATCACTGTTAGAGGGTGTCATACATCGACTCCTTCAAAGAAAACCATAGATATCTTTGTGGTTTGAGAATTTTTTCAGGATTTTTTGCATGTCAGAGGGTTAGTACAGTAGAAGGAATATAGTAAGTAACATTTTATACAAAAATTAAGCAATTTTTCATCAACCTTCAACAATGTTACCAAGTCACTTTAAGTAGAATTTTTAAACATAAAGTCTAACTCTATAAGAGTCAAGTTACATGTATACCGCATCTCAGAAGAATTTTTTCGTATTCATTAAATTGTTCGTTAAAGTTTAAACCCTTTGAAAGTATCATCGTTCATAGTTAAGGCAGGTTTTACAAAATGTTGCATAAATTTTTACACAGCCAGGATAGTAACGCTGCTACAGGTATGTGTGTATTTTATATACTTCAGGACAGGAGAATGAAATCTGACATATTTTCAGCCCTATGTCACAGTCTATGTGACTATTTTGCCAAATTAGCAGTGTATAAACTTAAAAGTTTTAAAAATTGATTGTTAGATTCACACATGTATGCAACGCTAGACATGCTAGAGGTCAATAAGATTGTCATTAATGACTAGTAATAATATGCTTTGCTGGGCCATCGACCACTACGACTGTTTTGCTGGTGTGACCCCACACATAGCTGCATTACTATCTTGGCTGCATATTAAACCTGTTCTATTGTTTCTCAACATTTCAAACACCACTGTACAAAACTCAACTGATTTCACTAAAAATCAGTACTTAAGTGACGATTGATGACATCTAAATATCAGTAAATTACAATTTTGTTCAACTTTCTGATGTTAGAAAGCATAATTTAGAGATTCAAATTGCGAGTCTACTGTCAAACTTGCCGATCAGCATGATTGTGTACATTTGTGTGTTGTGAGTGTATTGACTATTCATGTATTCAAAAGTTGCCTATTAACACGTAGTGCAGTGCTAGAGGTAAATACGCATTAGCATTGACTCTCTATGCTTTGCTTGAGTGCGGCCTACCCTGGCCCTTGGCCATATACTAGCACCACTCCAGCAAAGCATAGCCATAGACAGTCAATACTAGTAATGCGCATTGACCTCTAGTCTAGCGCTGTACTACACGCCAAGACTAGAGGCAGCATATGCAGCAATTGAATAGTCGATACACTCATAACACAACCTCCTCCCTCCACAAATAGCAGTAATCATGGAAGAATCCTGGATCGATGAACAGGCTTAGACTAGACCTACAACATCGTGTATTAAAGTAAATTAGTAGTAAATTAAGTAACACACAGATGCACACAATCATGCTGATGCGGCTGATCGGCAAGTTTGTGGACTCACAATTTGAATTTTTAATTTATTGTTTTTAAATCTAACATTGGAAAGTTGGAAAAATTGTTACTGCTTTTGCCTTGGTTTTACTTTAGATCTAGGCTTTACTTTAGATCTAGACCTAGATTAGGGCCCTAATTTAGGCGTCGTCTATCGCGTCACAAAGTCTAAAGTAGACTATGGATTTTGAGTGAAATCAGTTGAGTTTTGTACAGTGGTATTTGAAATGTTGAGAATCAATAGCACAGCTTTTATTAGTTTTAATACACAGCCAGGACAATGCACCTTGTCTATGTGTGGCACAGCCAGGATAGTAATGTGTGACTGGCGCTGGCGCGCCTTAGCTTAGCTTAGTGCATGCTTTGAAATGATAAAAACACAACTTTTCACGTGTGGGACTTAGATCTATACTTGTAACTTGACCAGCTAGACATCGAGTAAACCGAGTAGATCTAGTCTAGAGGCTAGAGCACGAAACTTCTTTTTTCTTTTTCAACCAGAATCTGGCAAATAACCTATTTGAATCGTTGACGTTGTCACAGCACATTATTCATTGACACATAATATATTCATAGAATCGAATGTTACCTTTAAAAAGTTACTTCTCATCAAGTTACTGGAGCCTGTTGATTTGCGTCGTTGTTGTTGTTAAATCTCTTCGCCATGCATCGCACGGAACAATTTATCGCCAAAAATAGACTGGAAACCGCACGCTCGAAAACGTCACACGAGAAAGGAACGTTCTTTGAATCATGGGTGTGGCAATAAGCCCAAATGTGCGGTTCTTCAACCTAGTGCGCCCGAGCTTGTTGTCAAGGACGACGACGAGACCATTAGGGTACCGTGTCGCAACTCTTTTTTTCAAGACCGATTTTTTTTTTTTTTTTTTTTTAATTGAGTTTATTGTATTATTTTTTTAATTATTTTTTAAATTATTGTTTCTTTCTCTCTTTTTTCATTTCTTCATTTTTTTCATTTTTTCATTTTTTCATTTTTTCATTTTTTCATTTTTTCATTTTTTTTTTTTTTTTTTTTGGGGGGGGGGGGGGCTAGATTTCATGATATCTTCTTACAATTATTCCCCCTAATATTCTACGTTATCGCTAACATACTTTAAAAAACTTAAAGAGAAGGTTGAGTTCTGGGAAGAGGTGAAAAATAATTTGTGAGCGTTACTCATTCTTATTATGCAAGTGTGGAAGAACATCAGATAAGACATGTTCCCTGAAAAGCATGGCTCTTCAAATGCCTTCATATTCTAAATATGCATGTAACATCATAAAAATCGGGGGGGGGCGGCTTTTTACGCCACGTGTTCGTGTAGTGAGTCCCAATACATCTTTCTGTGTACAGTGTTTGTAACTTTACCAAGACTTGGCCAAATTTCTTATCATTTTGATGATTCCAAAACCTTGCAATACACACAAATTCTTATATGCTAGATGATCAACCTTTTCTGGTCGGTTCCACACCGTTTCTTTCACAATGCAATCGCATGACCAGAACTCAACTTCATCTTTAAGGAATATAAGCGCGTAGACAAATTGCCCAAAGGGGGGGGGGGGGGGCGGGCCGGAGGGGTAACAACATATTAGGACATACGGGGTGCGCCGCTCTAATGGGTCACTTTTTCACAAATATTCCTTAAACATGGGTCCCACGTTTTATCAACACCATTAAGAATGGATCCGTTTTTTCAAAATTTCCAAAATTTGCAAAACATTCCATAAAATGTGAAAAATTTGACCTTTTTTCGAGAAAAATGCCCCCAAATGACCCGTGTTAATGGGTAGGGGTTTCGAGGCTTGAGCGGCACTCCCCTGTTCAAACCCAAATCTGAGTATCCCCCTCAGGGCAAATTGAATCTCTTTTGATGATACAGGAAAGAGCCATGGCCATGCGTATACAGCTTTTGCTCTCGAACAGTGACCTAATATACAAAAATAACCAAATCACGCTCACCATATGAGCTCAAAGATTCGTTTAAATTCATATGTGTAACTAATTTTGCATTTTCATTCCTCTCATTCTTATCAGGCTTACATTTCGCTCTGGTGACCATGGCCTCATACCTTCACGTATTCTTAATATGTGCTACTTCTTTGTTTACATGTCATTGCTAATGTGTCAGTGACTCATGATTTTTTTTCTTCATAATACGTCTTCATTATTTTATTGTTATCGAATTCAGTAGGGATATACTTCCATTCTTCATTCAGCCATGTCCCCGCCCCCCCTCTCTCTCTCTCTCTTTATATACATGTATATAATATATGACGTACCCTCTTTATCCGAATCACGGATTGCAAAAAGAGTTGTGCAAAAATGATAAGTATTAGATGAATTTCATCTTAGAGATCATGTATGATGTACAACAATAAGTTATTATGGTCATGACCTGTAAATTAAAATATCATAATCCATTTATATATCTCGAAACAAACGGCCTGTTAAAAAGACACCATTATAATTGATTCCATTTAATACAAGTAACTGAAGCAACAACCAAATACATGTATATCAATAATGAAATGTATCACATGTCGTATAGAGAACTTATTTCAGATCTGTTTCTAATAGATAGAAAGCACTTTTCTTATAATCATGATAGTAGTAACTGTAACAATTTCCGTGTCACGACAAACAGTTTACTTCCACAAAGTGTACGTATAACAAACAGAATCGGTGACAAATATTTTAACGGTCACCTGATTTGAAAGGTGATCATTCACACCACAAAATGACAAGCAAGCAAAAAATATGAAATAATATCTAAATTAATTAAGATGGGGTTATTAAGATGAGGGGTGGGCTCTAATTCTCACAAATTATATCAATGACGAGCCACAAACCACATAAATGGGTTTCGGATCCAAAGGACCCCCCCCCCCCTCCGGATCTACCCGTAGAATATAATAAAAATGAAAAGAGCTACTGTATTAACAGGCAGAAGACTGTTTATAGTTCAACACAATTGTTTAATCATGATTATTTGTGAGATAGATATTATATGGACACAAAGCGGAACTGCGACCAAAAACAATAGGAAGGAACGTTGCGGTCCTTGTAAATGATACCCCCCCCCCCACCCATAACAAAATCTGAAGACCACTGCTATACCGTGTTTGTATCTGAAATTGCATTATAAAATCTTGTTTTATAGAGTTCTCAATATAGGAACGATTCTCTTTATATTATTTGCCATTTCCAGAGAGTAAAGAGTAAAAAATAAGCTGGGTGAAAAGGGTACCGTTTTTATACAAGTTTAATAAAGAAAAGAATTATATCAATTTATTAGCGCAGCTTCTATATTAAACATACTCTCCTCCTAACAGTACTAATTTACAGACACACAATAAACAAATTAAACAAATAATACAAAACTATTCAAAATCTCCTGAAAACAAGTGCGTATTAACAAAACTTTGAAGACAGCAACAGATGAGGCCGTTCTTATGTCTAATGGTAAGTTATATTCCAAAGCTTTGGAGCGGCGCAACTGAGTGTTAGATGTGTGCTTCTCCGTGTTTAAACGAGAATCAAGCCATACACCCAGATTTCTCACAAAGCTTGACGGTCTTACCTCCGAGCAGTGGCGGGTCCTGCCGGCGGGAAGAGGGGGGGGGGCCCAATTCTTGAGAAAATATTAGTTGCGACTCAGCCGTCGGTGAATAAGCGGGGGGGGGGGGGGGTAGGGTAGGAGGTATTTTTTTTTTGGTCCAATGTTCAGGAGATATTTTGCGTCGACTCAGTCAGCCGGTGAATAATAAGCGGGGGGGGGGGGGGGGGGGTGAGACCACTATTTTTTTTTTGGACCTAATTCGTGATATATATTTTTTTTAAATTCTTTTTTTTGTTGTTGACCCGTCAACCCCCCCCCCCCCCGTGTATCCACGCCTGCAGAGGATCCAGCCGGCGTCAAGGGGGTGGGGGTAGCCAAATCTTAATACAAAATATAGTGCCGTCTCAGCCGGCTTGCGAATAAGCGGGGGGGGGGCGCTTTTGTTATTTGTTTTATAAAGGTTAACTTTACGTTATTATCCTATTTTTTTTATCGTTTTGGGGGGCTGGGGGGGGGGGCCCAGGCTGAAAAAATCGCTACGTGGATCCGCCCCTGCCTCCGAGTCTCCAACTGATATGATTACCACCTAGCTTTGCAACTTGTCTGGATGTTCCAACAATGCATACCGGTAACTCTGTTTTTATATCATTAAGCATTATCTTATGTTGGAACATACAAGAATAGATAGTCATGATTCTAACATTATGATATGATCATCTTGATGTTCTTTATCAGAGCTGAAAGAAATGAAGGCCTATACTCGAATTATGTCATTTAATTTAAATCTGAAGGATGATCGAACTTTGTGCATTGATTTGATATCGTCCCAGGGCTACTAAATTAAGTTTACGGAGGGTTCCGTCATCATCAAATACACAATAGCTGCAACTTCTACTTTCTTTGGCTTTCTTCCAGCAAAGATCGGCTGAGTGGAAACACTGATAGTATCTGAAGGACTGATACCTGATAACTTGCTCAAAGAACCTTCTTTCGTCATCACTATGGGGTTCTCAGGTAGGTAGAAGTCGGAGTCTTTGTCCTGAGGCCGTGTTACAAGAACCATTACGTATCTTGCATTGCATTGATACGATTTGCTTAATGTGATCTCATATCTCACGCCCCAGGCTTCCGTGTCTCCCACTTGGATAGGCTCCAGCCTCAGCACGAAACTGAAGAATCGGGATCGAGTTTCCACTGACCAAGCTCCGGTGGCTTCCCTGACCTCACACTTCATCTCGGTTTTGTAAGCATCGATGCTGATCTCTTCAAAGCAACCATTTCGACGCTGTGATCTTTGAGAGCGATTGGAGCTGCTAATCTTTCCAGGTGGAACGAAGTCCAGGTACAGCCGTGGTTGAAAGTCTGATTTCTTGAGAAAAGCGTAACTTGCTTGAAGATGGCTACCTCGGCTATCGGCATTGGAGACAGTCAGACCTACTTCGCTGGAGAGAGCTCTGTACTTGAACGACTCATTCAAAATCGAAGGAAAATAGTCAGTTGCAAATTTGACGATTGGTGAAGTCTCTTGGAGATGCAAAAGTTCAGCTATTTCAACTAAAGGAAATCGAATTTTAGGAACTATTTCGAGATAAAGATCCTTGTTGTCTTCAATGCTGCCTTTTGCCTTGAGCCAATCATCCACGCGAGTGATCACCTCCAATTCATTATCCACAACAAGATCTCTCCTTTCCAGAATACTACAAAGCTCCTTCAGACTTAATCCTAACCATGATGCCTCTGGGATGTACTGGAAGTACAGAGATAGTGTACGCAGGCAATCGTTCTTCAAGGAAACGTAGTCGTATTCATCTGTATCCCTCAACCACGTAATGGCACCGACCATACTCCCTTGGTTTATCATGTCTCCTACCCAGTCCTGAGCCATATCGCCCAACTTCTTGAGTCCCAGTCTATTGGCCAGACTCATCACCATTCTCACGTTGCCCGATGAGAAACTCATCTCGCCCGTGTAGAGGAAATTCAACACCGTTTCAAAAACCTCGATCTCCTTGTCGGTGGCATTCTGAGCGAGCTCTATGACGTTATCAGAAGCAGTTTTAATCAGATTTGCCAGTTCATCGCTCCAGGAACCCAGCACGAGCCGATGAGCAGCGAATGTTCGTTGACCAACCTTGACATGGATGTCTGTAAGTTCTTCCCTGTTCAGGAAAGGAACCAGCTTCTTCGACAGGGCGCTCCGACATGAATAGGACCGTTTACCATCTTTACTTGGATCCATTGCAGCAGCTATCTCTCCACCCTCTTCCTCCTACGATAAAATATGAATAAATTAAAAATGATTAGACCTATCATTTAGTCTCATTTACCAAGGGTAGCTACGTCATCAGTATACTAATAATACTCTTCCTGCTGGACCTTCAATTTTTGTAACGCCATGCAGCATTGCCAGGTATATCCTTTTTAATACATCTGGGGAGCGTTTCACAAAGACTAAGATCGACTTTAAGTTGGACTTAACTATGACAGGCCGTTAATGCCACTAGTTCCTCTAACCATTCTTGGCATTGGTTTCTCAATGGACGTATAAAATCATGGTCACAAATCTACAGAATTTACATTTTGTGATAGTTCATTATTGAAGGAAACAATATTATCTACAAATCATAATTGAGAGACCAATGGTGAGTGCAACCAGTGGCATGAAAGGCTTGCCACAGTTAAGTCCAACTTTAAGTCGATATTAGTCTTTGTGAAACACTCCCCTGAACTGAGAGGGACAGAATGATGTGGGTAAAACACGTCCAAGGATGGAACCCGGGACCTTTTGTACGAGGGTTAGGCCCCTTTATCAATACCAGTACAGTGCTCATGGCATGCGCGCCGGAAGCAGTTTGGGATTGGGGGGGGGGGGGAGGGGCAAACATTCCATGGGGCTCACCTTTCAGGGGCAGTGGCGTAATGAGCAAAAACGGTTGGGGGGCAGAAGAAAAATCTTCATCACCAGTTACATGCAGGCCCCGCGGAACGTTTTTCAAAGTCGAGTATTAACGACCAGATAGAGTGTAGCAAGCGAGGCGAGTGGGGCATAAACTGGCATGGCGTCAAGGGGCGGAGCCCCCAGAAGCTCATGGATTTTAGGCATCAAATAATTTGATTCGTATTTATGACACTGGCATGTCAATAATTGGCGTGGGGATCAGGGGCTGAGTCCCATGAAGCTCAGGGGTTTTAGGCATATGATTATGGTCAAATGAGCATTCAGGGGCCCGTCTTAGGAACCCTGGTGGGGTCCATGGGGTGGAGCCTCCGGAAGTTCAAGGGTTTTAGGCATAGGCGCCGGACGTGGGGGGCAGATGCCCCCCCCCCCAAAAAAAAAAGTGGGGGGCAAAACGCATTTTTGCCCCCCCCCCCCCCAAAAAAAAAAAAGCAGTAAAGAAGTCAAGACGGTTTGTATTTTAAACCCAAAAGAACATAAAAATAATAAAAACCTGAATTAAATTACATATAAATTTCATTCAAAGAAAAAGAAAGTTGACATGCAGGAATTAAATTTCCTAAACATTGCCTATGCTACCTATATCAATGGAGGTTTTGATACGCGCATATCGTGGACATATTTTGAGAGAATGGGAAAGCGTGTCTGTTTTTTGTTATAGGGGTGAAAAGCTCATGAGCCCCTGAACGCTGGTTAGATCAGTGATTTTTCCGGTATTTTTTTCTCAATTTTTTTGTAAGTTATACTTTTTTATGAGTTTGTTGGAAAATTAGAAATTCCCAAATGTACAGTCGGGCAAAAAATATGCTTATTTAGAAGCCTTTATGTCAGGGTCTGCAAAACGCCCCCCTCACTTTTCGAAAAAGTTTGTTGCAGAGAAAAAGAAAGAAAGAGAGAAAAAAGGAGAAAAAATAAGTGACCTACCAATGTCACAAATGAGGTATCAAAATATGCTCATCTGACCGTAAATTAAATGCCTACAATCCCAGAGCTTACAGGGGCTCCGCCCCCGGGCCCCACCAAGGGCCCTAAGGCGGGGCCCTGAATGCAAACCTGACCGCAATTAAATGCCTAAAATCCCAGAGCTTCCGGGGGCTCTGCTCCCTTGACTCTCCGCCAATTAGGGACCTGCCAGTGTCACAAATAAGGTTATATAAGGTTAAAATTGCTTACCCCAGAGCTATTGGGGGCTCCGCCCCCGGACCCCACCAAGGGCCCTAAGACAGTCCCCTGTATGCTCATCTGACCGTTATTAAATACCTAAAACCCATGGACCCCACCAAGGGCCCTTAGGCGGGGCCCTGGATGCTCAACTGACCATTATTAAATACCTAAAATCCCCGAGCTTCCGGGGGCTCTGCTCCCTTGACTCTCCGCCAATTAGGGACCTGCCAGTGTCACAAATAAGGTTATATAAGGTTAAATATGCTTATCTGACCATAATTTTAATGCCTAAACCCCTTAGCTTCTGGGGGCTCAGCCCCTTGACCCCTTGCCGGGGCTCAGGCCCTGGATCCCACGCCAATTTACGCTCTACCTGATCGTTAATAATCCATTTTGAAAAACGTTCCGCGGGGCCTGCATGTAACGTGTAAGAGCGGTGGTGCAGATGCAGATTTTCTCCCCCCCCCCCTCAAACGTTTTTGCTCGTTCCGTAAATGCCCCTGGAAGGTGAGCCCCCTGTAATGTTTGCCCCCCCCCCCCTCATCCCAAACTGCTTCCGGCGCGCCTGGTTTTAGGCATTTAATTACGGTCAGACTATAAATGAGCATATTTTGATATCTTATTTGTGAAACTGGCATGTCAATAATTGACGGGGATCAGGGGATGAGTCCCATGAAGCTCAGGGGTTTTATGCATTTAATAACGATCAGATTAGCATCCAGCTAGGGCCCGCTTTGGGGTCATTGGTGAGGACCAGGGGGAGAGCCCCCGGAAGCTCAGGGGTTTTAGGCATTTCTTTACGGTCAGATAAACATATTTTGATACCTCTTTTTTTTTCTCTCTCTTTCTTTCTTTTCTCTTTAACATACTTGTTTTTTAAATGGAGAGGGGCTCGAGGCCCCGACCCAGCCGCTCTGCAGGCTCTGACACGAAGGCTTTTAGAAAAAGCATAGTAAATTTGGGAATTTGTAATTTTCTAACAAGCGCATAAAAAAAGAATTTTTTACAAAAGAAAATGAGAAAAAATCCCGGAAGATCATGTCATTTCAGCAGTAGGCCTATGTGTAAAACACTGTGATTGAATTAGACATAAACCACGTTTGACTTTCATTTGGAGGCAACTGTTCCCCCCCCCCCCCCCATCAGTACGCCAGTGTCCAGGTGCTCATGTCTTCTCACCCCTATATAATGAAAAAAACACACACGCTTTCCCATCCTCTCACACTATTTGCACGATATGCGCGTATGCACTATCATAAAATCCTCCCTTGATAAACATAGAGGCATGCAGAATGTTTAGGAAATTTAATTTCTGTTTACTCTCCTTTTCTTTGCATTGAATAAGAGCACATTTAGAAAAAAATTCCCCCCAAAACGCAACGACTCAGCCAGGGGGGGGGGGGGGGGGGTAAGAGCACATTTATTATTATTATTTGGGGGGAGGGGGCCGGGGGCACGTCCCTCTTTGCCAGTACGTTAGTTTTTTTTTACAATTTATCCTCCTGAACTTATCCTGTAATCAGAAAATATCCATTACTCTCTTTTAAATCGAATTTCTTCATTATTCAGATTAGTATTAGAATGGGAGAGAATATAACACATGAATCAACCAGAAATAAGTAAATTGTATCAAAATGAAGGTAAAATAAATTGAGCCCAGAACATACCTGTTTCAGTTGTAGCCGCAATGAATTATATAGGGATGTTCTCGCGACCACTGTGAGTCCCAACTGTGAAGCTTTTTAATGCACTGTAGACTTGACTGCGGATCGATAATGCCACTTCCTGTGGGGAAACCCGACCCCACGCATGCTCGGTTGAGCTAGGCGGAGCCTCGGTTCGGGTTTTCCCACACCATGGTATTCCCCACTAGCATTGCGCAATTATTATCAAAACCAGATATAACACTTGATTAACCATTGAAATATTGACGCCATAAATAACACTGAACGCAAAATAATTAATTGCTTAACATTTGCCATTTGACGTTTACGAAGCTGCAGTGAGCTTTAATTTTAGCTTGCCATTTGTGGATCTAATTGAACTCGTTCACATCTTGAAAGTTGTTTTTTCAGTCAGTGAAGATCAGATCAACTGCCAGGAGTATCTACTGTACAACTGGTGAGTTTGTCCTAACATTCCCTTCAAAATGGTCTCTGATACAGTATCTAGCTTCAATGTACACTCATGTATAATATAAGAAAGACTAGATTCCTGCTCGGAGTTCGAGAAACTGCACCAAAATACAAACAAATAATGATGCTCCTTAGACGAAGAATGTTTTTACAAAAACTATTCTTCGTCTACGCATCATCATTATTTATTGTATTTGTCTATGTATATATATATACTTGATCGCATCGTTTCTGTATGGCGATAGTTTGTTTCCTTAATATGTCAAATATATCATGATGATGATGATGGTGATGATGATGATGGTGATGACGATGAGCGGGCTGATGAGTGCTTCACTCAGCAAGTGTACAACTTTTCACTCAGTTCTTTTCTATATAAACGGTTATTTTGTATGAGAGATGCCCACGCTCAGAATGATACATCATTTTGACTGCATGTGCATGTAAGAATATGCTGATGATAAAATTTGAAAGGAATGTAGTATTGTGATTATAATAATGCTGTAGGAGGATGACAAATACTGTGAAAGCGCGGAAACTCAAGAAATCGACATGCATGAGTCCAGATTGAAGAAGTTGAAACGACAAGAAAGAGTGAAACTAATGTTAGAGTTGCACCCAGTTCTGATGGTAATGATTGGTATCTGTCGTAGCGGTAAGCCTATTTTGTGTCGGGTCTTAAATAGAAACTGATATGTATGCGATGACGTTAAAACATGTACATGTGCTGTTATCCATCGTCGATCACCAACGACAGAATTAATTGTTATAGAAGAAAATAAGAGATCACCTATAAATTAAAGTATCAATCATCAGTAGGAGATTGAAGGCGTTTATGTGGGATTTTCTTTCCCGTACTAACACAGACTGAAAGTACACTGCATGGTCCATGATGTTTGAATTCGGCGACGAAGAGCCTTATTACACCTTGTACGATTACCCTGTTTACAACGATGATGACGATTCAATGGATAATTATGTGGATGAATATGAAACGTCACATGGCCACCTTCACCAGCAAATAACAGCTGAACTAGAGAAGAAAGAAAGGGAAAATTTTCAGGTAACTACATAATATTACATTAAACGATCCTGTATTTAGAGCCCCAATATATGTGACCATGTTCGTCTTCAGAATTTAAACCCCGATCCCCTAGCTACGACCCCCCTCCCCCGAAAAAAAATGAAAATACCGTTGACACGATTCAGTTGTTTTTTACGAATCTTACCTTGTAAACTGAACATTTCATTTCAAGTTTCAGTTTTATAGCAGTAAACCTATTCTGAGCTTTTTTAACTTTACAATCGGGACCAATGACCTTAATACATGTATATAATATAACTATTTATTTTGCTTATTATATTACTTTAGATATCTTAGAAGAGAAATGAAAACTGTCTAGCATACTCATAACAGGCCTGACTCATAATATGCAGTGAGTAGCGTGACACATTGGCATCTTATATCATACAGTAAAATTAAGCAAGATCTGACAAAAAAATGATTTCTGATTACCAAATATAGGCCAATTTATACCGGCTATCGATGCAGTATTACAAATGAAAGCTGCTCTGGTTAAACAAACGAACGATTTTTGAGTCCACTGAAATCGCAACGTATAAACGCAACCATGTCGATAACAAATTATGCTAGAAAAAAGATGGTCAGAAATGTAATTTCAAAAGGAACAGTTGACTATATATACCCATCAATGTCGCCTATTTTTTGATTAAAAGTACTCTTTTCATATTTCCCTAGAACGCTCAGCAAAACCTGCTCAGCCATGTGCGCGTCAGCGTAGATGAAGTCAGCAGAGTAACAGGGACCCTGTATGATGAGCAACGCTACAGTGACGTCACCCTGGCTGTTGGAGATCGAAGGTTCCACGCCCATCGCCTGGTGCTCAGTGCATGGAGCGATGTCTTCAAGACGATGCTTTGTAACTTATCTTGGCGACCACATGATGACAAACGTGGAACTGATACGACCGGACAACCAACCTTAAGTGTCAGGATCTCGTCGAGGAAGAATGTTGTGAAGAGTTTTTCGGCGACTTCCTCAAGTTTCTATATACTGCCTCTGTAGACCTGACCAAAGAAAACGTCCTGCCTTTGGCCCTGCTAGCTGACAAGTACTTGGTTAAAGAGCTAAGGGAGCTCTGTGACGAATTCATCCGCGACAAACAGAATGATGCTCAGGAAGTCGTCACCTTCATTCGCTCGGCCTTGAAACTTGGCATGCATGAAACAGTCGAGGTGTGTCTCCAAAGTCTGCTATGCAACTTTAGTTTCCTGAAGCCTGACCAACTTCTAAGTCTAAAAGGTGAGCACCTCATATACCTTCTCGACAGTGGACCACGGTTGATGGTAGATGATGAGTTTACTCTCTTCAAGAAGATTGAGCCCTGGTTGGACCAGTGTCAAAGTGAGGACACGCTTCTTAGTATCATCAAGCTCATTCGTTTCCCCTACATGAATGCATTACAACTGAAGAAAGCCACAGAGACGCCCGCCTTCCGCAGAGCCCAGGAAATGATGCCAGACATACTCCTTAAATCTTGGCAGCAACAGGCATTGTACAAAGAAGGAAGTCTCGATGACCTTCCAGAGGATTTCCCATGGCCCAGACTATACCTGAACCCAAGCGATGAAGCCAGATTCCCAGACCAGAAATGTATCTCAACCCGCGACCAACCAATGAATGAGCCGATCGCAGTTCACATTGATGGCAGTAGCTATTGTCACACATGCCTTGCTTGGGAGGGCAAGCGGATAGGACAAAAACATTTTTTCAAACAAGCATCTACCTTCAGGTGCTTAATCAAGCTTACCCAGAGCCCAGATTCACCAAATGAAGTAAACTTCCAAATAAATACATATTATGAGGATTCACGGAAAATACTTCATTTGGGAGTACGAGCACTCGTTCATGGTGCAACAGTGCCTATCTATTTCTCAAAGTGCCTCCCTCTGCTGCCATCAATAACCCCATATATAGGGAAGGTTACTTCAAGAGATACCCAATTCACATTTCCCATTGGGATCTCCGACCCTGAAATAATGACACTCCATGTTACAATCATTTTGGAGGACGAAGATGAGAAAACCACATAGACCGTGCTTGTGGATTTTTGTTTTGATTCCGAAGGGCTTTTCACTTTAACCCTAAAAAGGCCGGGCTATTTGAGATCTGAATACGGCCGGTGGCATTATGCCCCTAATATCTCGGCCCAGGAAGGTCCAATTTATGTGAAAATTAGCATGGTGATAGATTGAAATATATTGAATAAGATAGTAATGTTTATTTTCGTTTATTGATTTATTTTGTTTTAATATTTGTATGACAATATGCAATTTTTTTTTTTTTTTTTTTTTTTTTTTTTTGGGGGGGGGACATATACTCACACACGCACATTTGCGAGAATTACATATTTTGATAGACATGTGATGATATTTTGTCACCTAACACCCGAACCATAGGTCCGCCTATAACAAATTTGTTATCAAAATGTGCGGGAGACATGAGGAAAAATACTCGTGACATTTCAGCGCCAAAGGTTCAGGGTTCCTGATGCAGCGGCAAAAATTCGACAGGGGGGGGGGGCATTAAGGCCCCGGCCTTATTAGGGTCAAACAAATGGAAACAAATTGTGATGAAAGGTTTTCTAGTTATATTACTTCTACAAGACGGAAATGTGGACAGAATGAATATTCATAGTAGTTTTGGTATCTACAACTATCTAACAAAAACATTTGTTATAGGCGGTCCTATGGTTCGGGTGTTAGGTGACAAAATATCATCACATGTCTACCCGCAAGGATACTATAAAAAAGCTTCATGATTATAATCAGACCAATCAGAGCACCTACGCTTTAAATGCTTATCTACAAAACTGAATTATGAATACCTTACATACGCGCAGAATGACAAGTTTCAAATTAGAGCCCATAGAAATTAATCCATATTCATTACATATTACTTCAATATCGAGATGGCATGACGTTTTCATAGATCTGATTTTGTATAATTATTATTATTTTAAAATTTCACTAAGTAAATAAATTAGAGTACGATTTAAATTCAGTGACAATCTTTGGATTCAAAATGTGAATAACTTTCTTTATGATTTTTGTGTACTTTTTAAAAATTGTCTTTTAGAGTATTATAATATTTCCATTTCATATTATTTTTCGAAATTGCTGAATGGGTATCTAGTATGGTATTATCAGTATATAAGCGGAAGAATTGTTTGTACTTTCTTCCAGCTGTCTGTCAACGTTTGGCACCATTTGCGGATTTATGGGCCACGACTAAACTAATAACCCCTTCCTTTTCTAAGATCTTGGCCTTTATTTTTAATTCATTTATCTATTTATTCATTCATTTATATATACGTATATATATATAAATATATATAAATATACCTTTCAGCGTCATTAGACGGACATATGTAGTGACAAAAATGAGTCATTAAGTAGACATGGTCATTAGCAAGACATTTTCATGTCCTGTTAACAATTGAACAATATAATTACTACCCTCTACGTATGTGTGTAGGCATAGGAAACTTATAGGATAGGTTCATTCATTAGTCATTAGTTTAATTAATTATATTGTTTTGAATTTGGGTAATATACCAGTTTGTATGATGTCCTGTCAGTGTACCATTTGGGATTATATATAGATTTCCCGTTAATAAAACATGTAAAGTTATGTATATATATATATATATATATATATATTCATTCATTTATTCATTTATTTATTTATCTTTTATTGCTTGTCAGAAAAAGTTAGAGGAATATGGTGCCCACTCTTTAAAAAAATGAAACCCTGGATCCGCCCCCGGTTGCTCATGGAGCCTTGCTTAACTAAATAGTGTAAATACTAATCAGGCTGTAAATATTATGTCATATCATCTGCATGTTTTGTTAAAATGTATCTCATGAAATCTAATGCAGTACACAGAAGTCTGATACATTCACTTTGATTCTAATGTTTTAAATCGTTTCATATTTACCATTTTGATAGACAAAAATCCATCATGTTTATTAGCATCGATGATTGTTATTGACCATTGTTTGATAAAATTGTCATTATCGCTCAATTATAGCTGTTATCATTTTTTACTTTTGATGAGATAAAAGAATGAATGTACTGAATAAAAAATAAAGGTTCCAATCGTATCCCTCAAACTGTACTAAATTGTTTTTCAATAGGTGAATATTTACACAGCAAAGGTATAACATTGTAAGAGGCACATACATACTTAATACCTTAGTCACATCACCAGACCAACTCCAAACCGATGCCAGACCGTCAGATTCTTGGCCATATGATGTAATGTCATTGTTTGATTGATCTGTTGTCGGTCTCATCGGTGTGTTTGGGGTCAGAGCCATCTATACACAGGGTTTGACCAACTTGGTTTCACTGGGTCATAACATGGCGTATATTCTTATGTTGTGTGCTTGCCCTATGCCCAACAAAGCAGTAGTCGCCATATTATGTCCAACTCGAACCGGGTTGGCCAAACCAGGCGCAGATCCCCAGGCCTTGCCCCCCCCCCCCAAAAAAAAAAAATATATATATTTACAATTGTGAGCAGAAATTTACCTTCTTTTTGGGGGGCTCAAGGGGGTCATCCCCTCTCCACTAAGCGAAATATCGGCCGGCACGATTTTCAAATTTCCAACAACCCCCCCCCCCCCCCCCCACCAAGCGAAATATCGGCCGGCGCGATTTTCAAATTTCCGGGGACATGAAAAGAAAAAGTAGTGCTCACAGCATTTGACCTTCTTCTCTTTTTTGCTCAAGGGGGTCACCCCCTCCCCACTAAGCGAAATATCGGCCGGCGCGATTTTTTTAAATTTCCGGGGACAAGAAAAAAGAAGAACTAGTGCTCACTACAATCCCCCCCCCCCCCACCCAACTGAGCGAAATATCGGCCGGCATGATGTTCAAATTTCAGCACCCTAAATTTCAGATTGATTTCAAATTTGGGCCCCCCCCCCTAGAAATCCTCGATCCACGCCCCCCCCCCCCCCCCCAACTGAGCGAAATATCAGCCAGGGGGCGAGCGGGCCTTGCCCCTCCCCCCCCCCCCACACACACCAAAAAAAATGTAAAAAATTTTGTGAACAGAAATTTTTCTTCTTTTTTTTTGCTTAAGTTTTTTTTTCAAATTTCCTCCCCACCAAGCAAAATTTCGGCCGGCGCGATTTTCAAATTTCCGGGGACAAAAAATAAAAAGAAGAATTAGTACTCACTGCAATACCCCCCCACCCCCCCCCCCCCCCCCCCCCCGCTGAGCGAAATATCGGCCGGCACGATTTTCAATTTCAGCACACTAAATTTCAGATTGATTTCAAATTTGGCCCCCCCCCCCCAAGAAATCCTGGATCCACGCCTGGGCCAAACTCTGTGTATGGCTCTTACGTCCATCGCCGAACGAAACATTATTTTAAAAGCCACCTATACTTATGACAAAAGAGTCTGGAAAAAGGAGAAAGATTGAGAAGAGAGAGATGTCACTCTAATGAATTTCGAAGAAATTTCTGCTGTAAATGTCAAAAAATGTTGGAAAAACATAATAATGTGAACTTTTCTGACCAAAATTTTTGTTGAAGATAGAATATGAGAAGTAAGGCATTTTAGCAATACGGCTTGAGAAACGAGTCAATAGAAAGACTACACTCTGTATGACCCGCATATTAATGTTCAAAATTCCAATTAAAAATGTAGAGGTGTCTTGGTCTAGTACACCAGATCGACTCAGGTTTCACTAAAGGTAACAAAAGGTAAAATAGCGATCGGTTTTGAATCGGTGTGTATAGTCGGTTTGGTGGAGTAACTGAGGTAAAATGAAATGAAATGCGGATACAACAATGTGGTCTTTCTGTCTCAATTAAACATAACACAGGGTTAACCTTTTAAGGAATAGTAATATGAATTATTGTTTGCCGGACATTGCCATAATTATAAACATTATAATTCACATGTCTGTCTTTTTTCCTCATGTATGTGATTTCTCTAGAATAGGTATGAGAGTATATCCAAAGATGTGGTATGACGATGACGACGACGACGAAGAACTATTTTTACATGACGAGGGCCTAATAATCAGGCTAGGTGATTTGCGGGATAGACTCGTCAGGCAGGGCTTTATCGAACGCGACGGCAAAGACGAACCAGTTGAAAAACAAGCACAGCAAAAAGAGGTAATCAATTGAGTAATAATCTTTAAACAACAACAACTTCTACAAAAGTCTACCACTTTTACTATTACTACACTACTACTACTACTACTACTACTAAAACTACTACTACTAGTAGTACGTACTACTACGTGTACTACTACTACTACTTCTACATGTACTACTAATACAATGACTACTACTACTCCCATGTGCGTACGCAGGTGGGGGGTGTTGGGTAGAGTACCTACATGTAGGTACTCTAGTGTTGGGGGGTTGAACACCCCTCAATGTTTCTGTCCCCCCCCCCGAAAAAAACATGACAAAAACGAAGTATGGAGGGAAATGAGAGGGCCAAAATAAGAAAAGAAAGATTTCACTCAAAGCTCGCTCGCTACGCTCGCATTTTAAGTTATTATGATATTGTTTCTTAAATTAGATCTTTTAAGTTTTTCTTGATTTGGATTTGTTTTCCCTTTTTAAATGATGTAATTTTTCGCATTGCGACTTCACATATCTTAACATTTTTGCTCGCTCACTAACGAATAAATATTCAGACCATCACACCCAACTTCAAAGTAAAATGCTTAAGCAATATCTTGGACCATGTAAAGATAGACAAAAACGATAAAATCATCCCTGAAAATCTAATTACAACGTAGGGGTATAATATGATGGCCTACCAAGGTCTACAAATTCTGTATTTTTGCTTTGAGGCTTCTCTTTGAGGTGCCCCTTTTTCCAGAAAGTGCCCTTTTGTTGGTCCCCCCCCCCACACTTTGAAACTTTAAAAGGTAATTGTTAAATCTAGAAGAACGAAACATATACTCCCTATTTAATATATGTCCCAATTTCCATTTGGTATTTTTTAATTCATGATAAATTGCTCTGAGAAAAATGTCATGAAATATGCAATAAAATAAGGCTGATATTGCACCAGAGTGAATCAAGAATCCAAATGCTCCAAAGACCCTTAAACGGGCCCTGGACCCGACCGAAAGGAACTTCGCGCATCGCGCCTGTGATTTGCACTTCGCGCACATTCAGATTTTCAGGGTGAGTGCTTCAACCCCCCCCCCTCCACTTAAAAAAAAGCTTCCCACGCCTATGATCTTCAATGTAGGTTCCTCACATTTTATCTGACATGTGGGAATTGAGTATCATTGTAATGTGCTTATATACCATATAAATATAAGATTTCTATGTATTTCTCTATACTGTATAGGCCTACTGTAAAATGTGGAGCGAAAAACAAGAAACGTGAAAACTTAAAATGCAGGAAAACCCCAGGTTTTTTAAAGCTAGGATATCGAAATTCACGATGTTGGATGGAATAACCCCCTCCAACAACCCTTCCTGTTTGGTTGCTTTGCTACCTCGCGGGGTCACATTAATGATGCCATCCAATTTAAAAACACCCTCCTTGAAAAAATCCTGTGTACGCCAAAGTTTAAAAAATCTTCAAAACTAAGACCCCATATTCCTTTTCCTGTGGAATAACATGAGAATCGAGCGTAGTCTTTCCTCCAGACACGGTTATTCAAAAGTAAAAAAAAAAAAAAAAAAAAAAAAAAAAAAAAAAAAAAAAAAAAAACTTTTAAACTAAGACCCCTCCATCCTCCAAATTAAGACCCGGTAATCATTTCAGACTTGTTCTTGTTTATATAGCTGCTTGAGTGTTTCAGAAGTAGGGAAAACTGTAATATAAATGAGTTTTGTTTGTATTTGCCTTTTGAATAAATTTCGTTCTCATGAATTCACACCGTGTACCGCGTACCAATTGGCAGTCTTCAGTATAAGTAATTGATACGTTCATCACATGAAGAAAGGTAATTCATTCACGCACTCATGAAAATATAACATCGCAATCCAACGTTTCAATGTCACTTATAGCGTACATATATATATATTATGTTACATATCGTGAACATATTTCATAATCACATGCATAAAACAATCAGCGTCAATATTTAAATACATTTAAGGTCACTCATTTGATTACTTCTTTTTTCTACGAACATTGAATTCCAGGATATTTGTGGGCATTAGAATATTTACATGATTAAAAAATCGTCGACGGTCAACGAACCATCGAATCGGTCCCTCCTCTGTGTGTTACCATTTTGACTGATTCGTCAGTTCGTGTGACCGCCGACCAATCATTTATTTGTGACGTGTTGTATCCACATATGTAATAATGTAATTTATTTTTAAATGGAAAAAAAGAGGAATAAGATGGTGGTCTTAGTTTCGAAGATTTGTTTAAATTTCTATTTCTTTTGAAAGAACCGGGTCTGGAGGAAAGACTACGCTCTATACCCATGTTATTCCACAGGAATAAGATGGTGAGGTCTTAGTTTGAAGATTTTTCATTTTTTTTAAATAAACGAGTCTGAAGTAAAGACTACGCTCTAATCCCATGCTTTATTACCGGGTCTTAATTTGGAAGATGGAGGGGTCTTAGTTTAAAAGGTTTTTTCTTTGTTTTGTTTTGTTTTGTTTTGATTTTTTGGTTTTTTAAACTTTTGAATAACCGGGTCTGGAGGAAAGACTACGCTCAATACTCATGTTCTTCCACAGAAATAAAATGATGGGGTCTGATTTTTGAAGATTTTTAAAAAGTTTTGAAATAACCGGGTCTGGAAGAAAAACTACGCTCTAACCCCATGCTTTATTACCGGGTCTTAGTTTGGAAGATGGTGGGGTCTTAACAGTTTTTTTTTTTTTTTTTTTACTTTTGAATAACCGTGTCTGGAGGAAAGACTACGCTCGATTCTCATGTTATTCCACAGGAAAAGGATTATGGGGTCTTAGATTTGAAGATTTTTTAATTTTTTGAAATAACCGGGTCTGGAGTAAAGACTGCGCGCTATACCCATGCTTTATTACAGGGTTTTAGTTTTGAACAAATTCGACAAAATATCACTTCAAATTTATTACATTTGTGGGTAAAGTCATTGTTACATTTGTGGGTGATTCGAAATTATTACATTTGTGGGTAAAGTGGTTATTACATTTGTGGGTGAAATTATTACATTTGTGGGTAAAGTGTTATTACATTTGTGGGTGTTATTACATTTGTGGGTAAAGTGTTATTACATTTGTGGGCGTTATTACATTTGTGGGTGTAACACCCCCATTTGTGGTTGATTCAAAATTATTACATTTGTGGGTAAAGTGGTTATTACATTTGTGGGTGAAATTATTACATTTGTGGGTAAAGTGTTATTACATTTGTGGGTGTTATTACATTTGTGGGTGTTATAACATTTGTGGGTAAATTGTTATTACATTTGTGGGCGTTATTACATTTGTGGGTGTAACAGGGGGGGGACATTCCAGGGGCAGTGACGTAATGAGCAAAAACGTTTGGAAGTGCGGGGGGTCAGAAGAAAAATCTGCATCACCACCACTCTTACACGTTACATGCAGGCCCCGCGGAACGTTTTTCAAAGTGGAGTATTAACGATCAGGTAGAGCGTAAATTGGCGTGGGGTCCAGGGCCTGAGCCTCAGCAGGGGGGTCAAGGGGCTGAGCCCCCGGAAACTCAGGGTTTTTAGGCATTAAATTACGGTCAGATAAGCATATTTAGATACCTTATTTGTGACACTGGCAGGTCACTAATTGGCGGAGAGTCTAGGGCGCAGAGCCCCCGGAAGCTCAGGGGTTTTAGGTATTTAATTACGGTCAGATGAGCATCCACGGGCCCGCCTTAGGGCCCTTCGTGGGGTCCAAGGGGCAGAGCCCCCGGAAGCTCAGGGGTTTTAGGTATTTAATTACGGTCAGATATACATCCACGGGACCGCCTTAGGGCCCTTGGTGGGGTCCAAGGGGCAGAGCCCCCGGAAGCTCTGGGGTTTTAGGCATTTAATTACGGTCAGATGAGCATATTTTGATACCTCATTTGTTACATTGGCAGGTCACTTATTTTTTTCTCTCTCTCTTTCTTTCCTCCTTTTTCTCTGTAACATACCTTTTCAAAAAGTTATGGGGGCTCGAGCCCCAGAGCCCAGCCGTTTTGCAGGCCCTTGGTGGGGTCCAGGGGGCAGAGCCCCCGGAAGCTCTGGGGTTTTAGGTATTTAATTACGGTCATATATACATCCACGGGACCGCCTTAGGGCCCTTGATGGGGTCCAGGGGGCAGAGCCCCCATAAGCTCTGGGGTTTTAGGCATTTAATTACGGTCAGATGAGCATATTTTGATACCTCATTTGTTACATTGGCAGGTCACTTATTTTTCTCTCTCTCTTTCTTTCTTTTTCTCTGTAACATACCTTTTCAAAAAGTTATGGGGGCTCGAGTCCCCGAGCCCAGCCGTTTTACAGACCATGACAATAAAAGCGTTCTAAATCAGCATATTTTTCGCCTGACTGTAAATTTGGGAATTTCTAATTTTTCAACGAACGCATACAAAGCTATGGCTTATAAAAAAAAGAGAAAAAAATACTGGAAAATCATGTCATTTCAGCTACATTTGTAAATCACTGGTATCGAATTGATATCGTAGGCTGTCGGTCTCGTGAAGTGTATCTCATCCCCCATGGGAGCAATACGGAAATGTTTATGTGAACTTGTTTCACTTTACTGATTGGCTTTTGTCATTGATTATCTCCTTTCCCAACCCTGAACAATTTGTAATCATGCATATCAAAATAATTCCTTTCATACATACTTCTCCCACAATTGCACGTCTCACAGGAAGCACGCCGTTTAAAACAAGCTGGTTTACCACACCTAGACGTACCTACCATCGAGCCTGAATTTGGACGCTTTTTCAACGATCCTACCTACAGCGACACTACTTTACTGGTTGGAACTCACTCTTTTCATGCCCATCGTCTTATTCTTTCGTCGTGGAGCAGCGTCTTGAAGGATATCCTCAAGACCTCAGAGGAAGACTTGGTTGCAGGTAGTCATGCCGAAGATCCAGGAATGCGGACGTACCGACTCGATCAGGATCCTGATTGCTCCGAGGTCTTTGGTACGTTTCTGAAGTTCCTGTATACCGAGGAGATAACATTCACAGAGGACAACATCATGCCACTTCTGCAGATGAGCAACAAGTACGAGATCGACGAGCTGAATAAGCTTTGTGACAGCTACATCGGACACCTGAAAATGGATGCATCTTCGGCCATCTCGGTACTCATCCAGGCTATGAAGTACAAAATGGCACACACCATACAGTCGTGCATCAGTGTTCTGCGCTCTAACTTCGAGCTCCTGCATGCAGATCAGTTGCAGGTTCTTGATTCGTCGTTGATCATTGCCTTACTGGATTGCAATGACCAAAGTCTCGTCGTCAAAGACGAGTTCACACTGCTCCAGAAGTTGATCCCATGGTTAACTAACTGCACAGACAATGAGACCTTCAAGACCGTAGTAGGGTACATCCGGTTCCCTTTCATGTCAGCTCTGCAGCTGAAGGCAGTCATGTCGTCTGTCATCATGAGACGATTAGAGGAAGTCATTCCAACCTTTCTATTAGACGCCCTTAAGCAGCATTCACTCTACCGCGAGGGATTTGCCGACGAAATCCTCCAACCTGTACTACTTCCTCGGCTTTATCTGAATCCGCCAGTTGCACTGTTCGGCCTGTCTAAATTCGAGACAATAGGACAGATGTGCGACGAAGAAGGGTTCATGGAGTTCAAAGTAGTAGAATCAACGTGTAGTCTTCTTCAGAACGTCCTAGTGAACAGTAGAAAAGAATGCACCCCAAAGTATTACGAAATCGATAACTCCAGGGAATGGTGTATCGACGTAAAACGGATTCACCGAACCTTTGAACAGGAAGACGAAAGTTATGTACATGTATTGTGTGGACTAAATATCGGCATTCTACGAAAGATCAAGCATAACTGTCGTCAGCTCTACGCAATGACGGGTGCGCGGGTTCAGAGAGCTGAAGAATCGTACCGGGGTGACCAGATTGTCGAAGTGGCAGTACAGGTCAAGTACGAAGATGGGTCTGATTATCTATTTGCTTCAAGGCGTCCTCTCTTGTCGAAATATCAAGACCAGGAACGTGATGGGGAAACGGATGATGTGCCTCTTTTCACTTTCGAAACACCCTGCACCATTCGGTCACTGACAGCGAAAGTCAAAGTGAGAGTGTCCGTTGTCATCCATCGAAGCCCAGAAAGTCAGTCTAAAGACAAGTAAATGTGTGAATACACTGAGGGTAGATTGATGAGACCATTGGCGTAACTACAGGGGGCACGTACCCCCAATCATAATTGTAAAAATGAGAGAGAGAGAGAGAGAGAGACAGACAGACAGAGAGACAGAGAGAGATGGGGGAGAGAAAAGAAGCGAAATGAAAAGAGGCGGGGATAGGACGAGAAATATAGATAACATGACCTTACCCTATTCTACATCCTCTCCCTATAATTAAAGCCTTGTTAATTCGTATTTTTCATTCATGGACTTTCACATCGGTGCTCCCTTCCCCATTATACCATTGTCCCTGTACCACCTCCCCCTCCCCCTCCCCTCCCCCTCCACCTCTACCCCCCTTGCCTTTCGGCTTGACCAACGCTTCGCTACTGGATGAGATATCGACCATCGACTCATTCGACTGTATAATCATGCAATAATTGCATTTAATCCTAAACTCAGAGGAACTGACTACGACAGTCAAGGAAGTAACCGCTCATTGGTATCGTCTGATTATAGGGGTGGTCTAACATTTTTAATTCTAATCTCGAATTTGATTCTTGTTGTGCTTTTCGTCAAAATCTTCATCTCACAAGCCTTTGCTATGAAGTATAATTATTTTGGTATACTCCCATGCTCATATTTACCTTGCTTTGTTTCAATTCCGTAATCTCAATCATTTTGTGTCATTATATTCATGTATTGGAAAAAGTTCCAATTTTGCATTTTGTTTTGTAAATAATACAGATAGTAGAAGTCGCAGACCAGAAAAGATGCCCTCGAATGGAGGCTATACAGTATGGTCAAATAGTCGGACTGTATCCTATAATGGGGTCAAATCAACAGGTACCAGCTGCGGGAGGGAATTTTTTTTCTAGATGAAAACTGATACCATGATCATTGACAAATTTGGCAGAGGGTTTTTTTTTTTTACGCAAGGGGGAGTTCAAATTCGTCCAGAGAAACTGCGTTTTCAAGAATTTGTACGATTTCATGTCTGTGTATAATAGTAATAATAATAATAATAATAATAGCTAGTTCTTATATAGCGCTTTTCAGGACCGAAGGCCCTCTCAAAGCGCTTTACGGATATATATATTATTACCCCGGTCATCGGATTCAGGCTTACCCGCACACGATGTATGCACATTCTCCACTCCCTGGGGAGCATTCCAGCCAGTCGTCATTTTTACAAGCGCACACTTGCTAATCTAAGCACATTAGCTTTCGCATCCTAACAGGTCAGTAACAACGCCTTTAAAAATAGAAATGAGTGCGGATTCTAAAATGTTAAAGTTATGATCCTTTTGTCGCTTATTACAGCTTGCCCAAAGGTCAGGCATAATACAATTTCAGAATCTACAAAACGATAAGCATAGATAGGACAATCTTTTTTGTTGTATTCGCATTGAGAAACAAACGAGTTGTAAGACCCTATAGGACCCTGATCTTTCTTTTTCTGTGAAGGGCCGCGTTTAAACTATATTTTTATTCTTTCTTTCAGACACAAAGCACCAACAATATGGAATACTTTGCCAAATAACATAACATCTATAATGAATTACATAGATTAAAAAAAAAACATTGTAAAGCAGCATCTAATCACATGGGATTTTGTGTAGAAATTGTCCACTTTATGTATATTTGTGTGTATTTGTAGGGCTTGTATGTTTTTGTTTGCTTCTGTTGTTATACGAGTTTTCTTTGGGGCAAAATAAGTTGATGTAATTTCAAATCTTTATTATGTTCATCACATGTTGTTCAATTAATTTTTGGGAGCTATCTCGACAAACTCATTATTTGGGTTTTTATAAGTTCCCTTTGTTCCATTTTTGTTTAATATTTTAATGTACTTATGTACACTCTAGTGGAAAGATTTTGCATGTTATTTACAATACTATTTGCAAATGTATGTGTTCTTGTATCGTGATTTTTATGGAAATGAATAAACTAAATTTAATTGAAGAAACAATTCTGCAAGAAGCACTGCCCGTAGATTTCTGTATAATGATCACAGCATGATTGATGAATGTAGTCTTTACTGACACATGCAGGCGCTACTTAACAAAACTGGACAATATTTGTTGTTGTATTTGCATTGAGATGTGAACGAGAGGTAAGATCCTTTAGGACCCTGACCCTTCTTTTTGTGAAGGACCGTGTTTAAATTATAACTTTTCCTAAGTCTGACATTGAGCAAATCGATGCATATACCACAAGCGTTTCTTGATTATAAAAATCAATGCAAAGATAGTTTTCTTCACGATTGGTGTTTTGTGCAACAACAACTTTGCATTTATATTCCCTGTATGTATATATTCTCTTGATTTGTTGGTTAACCTAAATAAGGAAATAGATTTAAAACTTGAATTATAAATACATTAGTCAAGATTAAGAAGTAAAAGGAATAAAACTTTTGCCAAAAATAATTTGAAGTATTTTATATTCAACAAAGAATATTTCTTTGTGGTTGTTGGTGTTCTGTTTAATGTAATTTATATCTAAGCAATGTCAAAATCATAGTAATAGAAAGTAATGTAATGAACAAATCGATTGTGTATCACATTGCAAACCATTTTTGTTTGTGTTCATTCGTTTTTTAACCTTGCTTACCGAAACTGTATTTGCCAACCTCCTGTACATTACACTTGTTATATATGCAATTATTTAAACAGATCTGCTAATTGTGTTAACAAGCAAAATAATTTAAAAAAAATACAATTTTAAACATAAAGTGAATGCTCTTGTAATCCTTATTGTTATCTCATCTTGAATACATCGATTTAAAAGGAAATGACAAACAATAATATACATAATGTCCAGTCACACGTGTGAACTGTTCATAATATTTGGCTATTTCAGTTCAGATCATTTAGAGGGTTTCACTGCCATTGGTCTGCAACCAATTCGTCTTCTTCCCAATTGGTCTATTCCCATACGGTCTACACCTCGCCCTTCTACTATCCACGTGGTCTAACATTTCGTCTACTTATCATTTGGTCTAATTACCATTTTGGCTAACAGTCATCCATCTAAATGGTCTCATAATCATGTTACCATAAATAACAATGATCATTACATTATTATTAGACTTATGGATAGTAGACGAATGGGCATCAGACAAACTAGGAATCAGATAACAATAGACCAAACGCGTCGAAGATTAACTGGAGATTAGACCAATTGGCTATTAGCCTACAGGGGCATTAGACCAAATGATATAAAGAAGAAATGATTATTAGACCATGTGGATAGTAGACGGGCTGGGTGAAGACTAAATGGGAATAGACTAATTGGGTAGTAAACCTGGTTGTAGACCAAATGGCAATTCACCATTTACAGTATACAGCTCCAAAGATTTAATAACCTAACTATGAATAACAAAGAGTATTATATTCAAGAATACAAGTGTACAGTAGGCTTGCGGGTGCACCATGACAGTTCAGTGGCTGATCCAGAGGGGGGGGGGGGGGCAAAAGAAGGACAATAGAGAAGGGGGGAAAAGAAGGGGAAAAAAGGAGAAAAACAGAAGGGGAAAAAAAAGAAGGAAAAAAAGAAGGAAAAAACAGAAGAAGGAAATAGATAGGGGAAAGACATCAAAGGTATCAAAATATGCTCATCTGACAGTAATTGATTGCCTAAAACCCCTTGACTTCCGGTGGCTTTGCCTCCTGGACCCCACCTACGGCCCTAAGGCGGACGGCTGGATGCTAATCGGACGGTAATGCCTAAAACCACTGAGCTTCTGCGGTCTCGGCCCCCTGGACCTCACGCCAATAAGTGTCCTGCCAGTGTCACAAATAAGGTATCAAAATATGTTCATCTGACCGTAATTAAATGCCTAAAAGTTTTCAGGGATCAACCCCCTCGACCCACCAGGGGCCCTAAGGCAGGCCTCTGCATGCTTGTCTCTGACCGTTATAAAATTCTTAAAACCTTTGAGCTTCGGCTCCGCCCCCTGGACCCCACGCCGATTACCCGCCAGTGTCAGAATAAGGTATAATTATGCTTATCTGATGTAATTAAATGCCTAAAGCCCTGAGCTTCTGGGGCTCTGCCCCCCCCCCCCCGAACCCAACCAATGGACCTAAGGCGGGCCCCTGGATGATCATCTGACCGTAATCTCTTGCCTACCACTCCTGAGCCTCCGGGGGCTCCGCCCCTCGGACCCCACGCCAATTCGTGACCTGCCAGTGTCACAAAAAGGGTATAAAATGATGCTTATCTGACGATAGATTCATGTATAAACCCCTGAGCTTCTGAGGGCTCCGCCCCCTGGACCCAACACCAATTTTTGTCCTGCCAGTGTCACAAAATAATAAGGTATCAAAATATGCTCATCTGACAGTAATTTATTGCCCAAAGCCCTGGAGCTTTCGGGGCCTCCGCCCCCTTGACCCCACGCCAATTCGTGACCTGCCAGTGTCTGCTCATCTGACGATAATTTAATATATAAAACCCCTGAGCTTCTAGGGACTCCGCCCCCTGGACCCAACACCAATTTGTGTCCTGCCAGTATCATAAAGAAGGTATAAAAATATGCTCATCTGACCGTTATTTATTGCCCAAAACCCCTGAGCTACCGGGGGCTCCGCCCCCTGGACATCACGCCAATACGTGACCTGCCAGTGTCATAAATAAGGTATAAAACTTGATCATCTGATGATAATTTAATGTAAAAAAAACCCCTGAGCTTTTGGGGGCTTCGCCCCCTGGACCCAACACCAATTTGTGCCTTGCCAGTGTCACAAATAACGTATAAAAATATGCTCATCTAACAGTAATCTATTGCCCAAAACCCCTGAGTATCCAGGGGCTCCGCCCCCTGGACCCCACGCCAATTCGTGACCTGCCAGTGTCTGCTCATCTGACGATAATTCAATATATTAAACCCCAGACCTTCTAGGGACTCCGCCCCCTGGACCCAACACTAATTTGTGTCCTGCCATTATCACAAATAAGTTATAAAAATATGCTCATCTGACCATTATTTATTGCCCGAAAGCCCTGAGCTTCCGGGGGGGGGGGGGGGTCCGCCCCCTGGACCCACGCCGATTTGTGACCTGCCAGTGTCCCAAATAAGTTATAAAATTATTCTCATCCGACGATAATTTTATGTATAAAACCCCTGAGCTTCTGAGGGCTCCGCCCCCTGGACCCTGGGGTGGATTCAGGTGGGGGGGGGGGGGGGGCACGGGGGAAGAAAAACGTGTAAAAAATTTTAATTTTTTTTTTTGGAGATGCCCCCCCCCCCCCCCCCCCCCTGGCAGGTATGATGGTAGGGGGGAGTGCGATTTTCTTAATTTTCGAGGGCCCCCCTAAAACGTGAATGTAATTGTAACATGATCAGACAAAATAATCTATTGGTTAATGATT